TCTTGCTCGATCAGGGGCCAAAGGGCAAGGGGGTCCAACACCCTCCCCCCTCCCCCCCCCCTCCCCACCTATCACCCCTTATACCTACCTTCGCGGCTGGAAAAACACCAATACCTACGGGCGAGGGTTCTACTTCTAAATTTACGCCTTTCTAATGTTCAACATTTTTCTCAATCTGCACTGCAAACCTGTAGGCGTCTGTCCGGCCTGAATTTGGAATGGGAGAAGATAGATAGATAGATAGATAGATAAGCTTTATTTCAGACTCTGGGTCCATACTCTTAAATACTGATGATTTCAGTCAGTGCAGTGGCAAGACAACCAAATGTCACACAAACAATCATTCGGGCCTGTTTCAGCACTCGCGCAGAGCTATGTGCTAAAATGAACGTACAGTTGCTGTTGCCAGTGGCGCCTCAGGCGAGAACGGTATTTTACACTACAATTTTCAGTCTTTTTTACCAGCTCACTATCACATGTACTCAGCCTGCACATGAAGTTATAGATGCGCTGTCTGATAAGAACGGCACAATGAGGAACACGGTGCACGACACATGTGTGAGAAGAACTCTCGTACCTAGAAATGCCTAGCATAGTTTTCAATACCGTATGGTAAGCCACCATCAGCCGGCGCAACATACACTGGCGATAATTTGACCACAAGTGTGCAGTGTACATAGATGAACAAAACGCTGTAAAGAGACGCGCCTTTGCTGCTACCGAGCACATGTGAAAACGACGAATCAGCACATTCCCCTGTTTGTACATTTGCTTACACTGCCGATCGATGTCAAGGTCATCTGAGTAAGCATGATTACTGATGATATGCCCTAAGTACTTTACATGATCAACCTCCTTTAGAGGAACACCTTCAATGAACAGCCTTGGCAATATCAAATCTTTCATGTGTTTAGAGCGACAAGCCAGTACAACACTTTTCTTTGCATTGTACAAAATATTGCAAGTTTTTCCGAATTCTCCACACAATGAAATCAGTTTGCTCAACCCTGCAACCGACGGTGATAACAATACCACATGATCTGCGTACATCAGATGATTGATTTTCGCATCCCCTACCCAGCAACCTACATTCTGTCTATTTAACAAAGAACTCAGACCGTCCATATACACATTAAACAGATATGGGGACAATATGCCACCCTGCCTAACACCGTTCGATACCCTAAATTTAAAGGAAATGGCACCACCCCACCGGACACACATTTCCTGACGGGCGTACCAGTACACGAGTACACGAACAATGTATACTGGGACTGCTCTGTCTCGAAGAATGTCGAAAAGCCTTTTATGCTGTACACGATCGAATGCCTTGCTTGAATCCAAGAAACACATAAATACACTGCCATTCATGGACTTGTACAGATCAATAGACTGTTTCAGGAGGTATATGCACTGGTCAGTTCCCATTCCCTTTTTGAAGCCAAACTGATTGGAGGCTGTCAACAGGTGGTCCTCCATCCGTTCCAAAAGGATTAGTTCTAGCGCTTTACTCATTACGCTAGCTAGCGCAACAGGTCGGTAGTTATCTTTTGCAGTGACCTTACCAGCTTTATCCTTGATAATCGGCACCAGGACCACCGCCATCATTGATTCTGGGAGAATGCCATGCATAAGTAGTGCTGTGAAGCAAGCGGATAACTTTGACGATAAACTTTTCCCCGCATATTTCAAGTTTTCGGCCTGTAAACCATCAATCCCACTAGCTTTCCCACACTTCATTTTTTGGACAGCATCCTGAATCTCGCCTTCGGACACTCTGATATCACCTACAGACGATTCCCTGTCCTCTTCCCAGAGCGTACCATCTGATGACGGCATCGAATTGAGAAGGCTGGAGAAATGTTTCCCCCAAAAGTCAGCAATCTCACCCTCACCACACACACCGTCAATCACTGATGGTAGGGGAGTACTACTGTTACTCAGCGATCTTATTTCTTTCCAAAAAGATTTACAGTCATGACTGTAAAAGATGCTAGATCCCTGGTCGGATTGGTCGGACGTGTTTTGCAGCGCTCCTGTTTTTTGGTTATTTAATGCGGATATGGCAATCGGTGTAATATCAAATTGGTATGCTCTGAAAGAACATTAATTGTAGTACGCGATTGTACTAGAATCATACCGATTTAGTGGATTTTAAGCTGCTTAATCAGCGGTTTAACTCGTTAAAAATTTTGACTTAATACGCTTGGCGTTGATTTTCCTAGCCTTGCGAAAGTCGTGATTGGCTCTTGATTTTTCGTTGCAATTCTCGTGTTTTGCACGACAGAGCCCGTATGAAGCAAACCTCGACAGATAAAATACTGAAGAAATGAGCAACTCAGCTGGTCCTCAGAACATCACGATTGACGAACTTCTTTGCTTCGTTCAGAACAAGCTTGATACTTTACCACCGGATACCATTGTTCAGCTATGTGAGTCCACATTTAATGAAGCGGATGTAGAAGCATCAAAAAGGCTCCTATATGATCTGTGTGCTGGAGCTGATACTTCCAGATTTAAGAAAAGACTTGGGAGGAAAAAAACTCAACAAAACTTAGAAGACATAATCAAACTGATGCAAGAGAAGGGAACAGACGTCCCCTTGTTTGTAGCCCGTGATCTACAAAAGCTGCCTCCGGTTTCTTTTGACAGTCTTGATGTCTCCTGTCTGCTAAGCCAGATCAAGAAAACGCAGTCAGAGCTTGATTTCCTGAAGGACAGTATGACCGCCCAACAGTGTGCCGTGCAGTCGCTCGCGGAAGTGGTCGGCCAGGTCAAGCTCCAGACTGATCAGATCGTGAGCAACCAGAGTAAGACTGCTGTGACTGACCATGACGTTGCTGGTGCAATGTCTGCTCCTGTCGTCACAGTAGCCTCTACTTCAGAAGCTACGACTTCGACCTCGACTTCTTCGACCTCGACTGCTGCGACTGACAACACTTCAGCGCATACAGCTACTGCAAGAGCTGCTGCTGCTGTTTCCGGGAGTCAGCTAGCAACGGTCGCTGCCCATGACTCGCGCAACGCTTCGAACAGCTCCAACGACAGTTCTCCTAGTGATAAAGCTGAACTGAGAAGGGGAGCTACTTCATATGCAGATGTCGTGTCATCTACAGCTAAGCGGGAGGAGGAGGAGGACTGGTTGACGATGAGACGTGTAAACGGTAAGCTAAAACCGGTTCCTGTGACTAAAAACGAGACTGCAGCGTCACCCAGCGCTAGTCCTTCCACAGCTGTGGGGAGGGCAACCAACGAATCCTCTGGGAGCGTAACTGGCGCGGCGAAAAACACTGGACTGTTAACAGTGGACAGTAGGTCCCATAGGAGAGCGCACATTTTTGTGTCTAGATTCCACACGTCTGTGTCCCCTGAGATGGTCAAAACTTTCCTGATAGGAAAGCTGGGCGCAGATAGTGATGTTAGAGTTGAGAGCGTTCAAACTCGATATGACACTTACAGGTCATTTCGTGTCAGCTGCAGATGCGAAGAGCCAAACACGCTAATACAGCCAGACTTATGGCCCGAGAACACCTATGTGAGAAGGTGGCGTGGGCCGATCACAAACGCTCAAAACCGGGCCACCATCAGCCCAAGCTCCTCATCCGCATGAGATTGGCTAGTTTCAATGTTCGAGGTCTCCCCAAAACTAGTAAAAGCCTATCGTTACGCCCTGATGTTGTTGATGTATTAGAGTGCGCGGACATAGCATGTGTTCAAGAAACGTGGTATTCAAAGCAGGAGCTAGGTCACCTGAATAGTCTTCATGAAGAATTTTATGGTTTTGGTTGTGCAACAGTAGATTTTAGAGATGGTATATGCACTGGTCATCCGTCTGGTGGTGTAGCTATCCTGTTTCGGAAGTCTATGGCAGCATTTGCGAAACCTATTGACTTAGAATTAGACTGGTGCTGTGCCCTTGAGATTTCTCTGCCCACAAAACGTCTCATCGTGCTTAATGTATATATGCCATTTCAGTGTCGTGAGAATACCGATAAGTATGCTGAACAGTTAGGAGTTTTAGAAAGTATCATCAGCGACCTTAACACCACATGCTTTCTAATTTTGGGTGACTGGAATGCTGATATGAAGGATTGCCCCAATAGCTTATTTGGCCCTGCCTTAGTGCAATTTTGTGATTCTAACAGCCTTCATTTATCATCACAGGCGATGTTACCTGGCGACAGTTTTACGTATGTAAGCGACGCTTGGGGTACTCAATCATGGTTGGATCATGTTGTTGCCAGTAGCGATGCACATGCTGCTATTTCTGATATGGAAATTGGCGATCAGCCCTCATTAAGTGATCATTTGCCGCTATTGCTCAAAATGGATATCACACAGCTACCAGAGATGACTGCGGTTCAAAACGATGTGCAAGGTAGCACTAAGTGGGACCAGTTATCTCCTGAATCTCTTAAGATATACTCTGATAAATGTAAGGATTTGTTAACTAGTGTTGCAACTGATGCACCAGGCATAACATGTTCTGACCCGAACTGCACTTCAGAGGAACACAGGGCAGAGTGCATAGCGCTGTACGAACAAATATGTCGCGCCCTTTTGCAGGCAGAAAATTTTGTAAACGATGCTAGGGCCAGAAAGTCTTTCAAATGTGTCCCTGGATGGAATTACTATGTTTCTGACCTGTACAAAGAATCGAAAGACCTGTATCGACTTTGGCAAGAAGCAGGGAAACCTAAGCATGGCCCAGTGTTTGATGCCTACAGCAGAGGCAGGGCCAGGTGTAAGTATGCCATTCGTTTTGTTAAGAAAAATGAAAGTGTTCTGAGACGTGAAGCCATCGCCAAAAAGTTATGTGACAATGACTGTAAATGGAGAAGTCAAAGTTGTCGGAATTCTATCCCGATTGAAAGTATTTCACGATTCAACACTGAGAATCTGAATCACTTCGGCTCGGGCGGACCAAGATTACTTTATGGTGGGCCGATCATGAGAGAGGAATATTGATACCATATTTGTTTGGTAGCATCACTAAAAACAACTAAAGGAAACCGGTTTCAGTTGACAGGAAACGACTTGTTTTCAAACGGCTCTGTGTTGTCCCACGGTGAGGTCGTAGGTTGTTTTCATGTTTGTTAAGGTATTTTCAAGATTATGATAGGCTTATGGTAGTTTAAGGCGGTTATCAAGCTATTTACTTAATTCGGTATCGCGTTACAGCACATTTACCTCTGTCCTACAAATGTCACAGCTGCGTCATAGTTGGCATGTCATTTTTATTTGAACTTTTTGCATGGAAAATAGTAAATGGCCATGGTCGAATGGGGTAATATGGGTGAATGAGACAAAGAAGATCATTCATCATGCTTTTTTAAATCAAAATGAACTTATTGAACTTTGAGTCAGCCATGCAGTTGCCCCAGATTTCAAAGTGAAGCATGGCAATCTCGATGGTGTTTTCATCTGGGCCCTGTTCGCTCGCTGTTTTTATAGCAGTGTGCTCTCGGTTTTCCCCATATTAGGAAGTTATTGCTGGCACGGCTTGGCCTCTCGGCTCTCATTGGTCTAACGAATAGACCAATTGAATTCGACCAATGAGGAGCCAAGAAGCAGCAGCATGGTTGCAGCCTGCTGATATATAAACGGGGTGTGAACAGAGCTCTTGTTGGTGCTGTCAGTGCGGATGCACTACATGGTGTGTTTTGTGGTGTGAGTTTATTGCCAGACTTGAAAAATTCCATACACAGTGCCAAATACCCCAGGGACTCTCATGATCCAAAATTTTGAAGGTTTCATGACAAATAACAGGGAGACAGGGTGGAAAGCAAGCTGAAGGAGAAAGTTTTTTAGTCACACTCACAACTCACAAGCTTGGAGTTCTTTCTAATTGTAATTTTGTTTGTTTATTAGATCTTGAGGGTGCAAACAGACAAGGAGGTTACATAGGCGGCGGAATGGGGAGGGCACCGGGGCTGGGCACCATGCCCCCCTTTGAATTTGGTATTTTAACATTAGCCCTATGGCCTATGGGTGTTGCATGGAAAGAATGGGACCAAAAGTCGTCAGTGCCCCCATCCCTTAATTGAAGGTAGTTCATTTTAACAAATTATAAAAAATTGGTCAGAATTGTTAGATAGGTATCAAGGTTTTAGTGACGTCGCTGAGTTCTCAAATTTTGGCCAAAAATGGTGTATGTTAAAAAACAAAATTACAGAACAAACGTAGAGACATACTGTACATGGCATTAGACTGCCAATACAATGAACAATCAAATGGCTTGCATCGTTTTCCTATTATTGTTCTACATTTTCTAACATCTTAAACTGAATCGTGGTAATTTGTTATGACAACTTCATGACCATGAGGCATGGGCATGCATTTTTTATTGATCTTTTTTGACACAACAGTAACACACACTCATATGAGAAAATGAATGTAACCATTGTGTTCTACACCTAAAACTTCCTATCAAACATGCTTTATCTGCTGTATATACCAGTTTTGATTTTCAGTGATATATTTGGCGATTTTGAAATTATTTGAAGACCTGATTGACCTAACCTCAACAGTGACCCAATTTTGGAAACAAGGCCCATTGCTGGTCCCAGCTGGGTCCAAACGATTTTATTCTTTACAAATTTATGCTCTGGCACCTGAAATCTCTTAAATTTCCAGCTTCTGTGATGAAAACTGCTAATATTACATCTAAAACATGCAGTTATAGCATTTAGAGTACACATTTTATCCACTGTCACATTTAGTATGCCAAATATATGAATTTCCTGTTGAGTGCTCTAAAAACTGGCCGGTTCTCTGGACAGATTTTATTCTCCAGGACCAGGACCAACATTCACAATTCCAACATTGCCCTGACCTATGCTTGACTGACCCCTGCATGAATCTTATATTTGTGTGGCATTTCTATGAAGGATTGTACACAGTTCTGACCGAGTTTATGACAAGAGACGCCCAGTACGAGGCTTTAATCCTTGTTGTTGTTGTTGGTCCCTCTGTCTCACAGCTGAGACGTAGCCGTCCGGCTCTGTAGGGACCTGTGGGCGGCCCCCAGGGCCGCCACGATGGCGCCGCTCCGCACCTCTTCAAGGTCGGGGTTGATGGATCCCAGCAGTCGGTGTCGGGTGGCCATCAGGGCCGGGCAGCGCAGGAGGACATGCTGAGGGGTGTCCGCCTCCTCCCGGCAGACGGGGCAGAGCGCAGCCCTGCAGTGTTGATCGTCACACTGCTCGCACCCCGCCAGCTGGGAGGGCGCCAGCCCGACTCTGTGGCGCCACTGTGTAGAGCTGGTCCAGTGGCCGGCGCGGAGCTGGTGTACGTCCACCGCCGCCGACCGGTCTCCGCCGGCCACGGCCGGCGGGAGGCGGTCCCCGGTCAGTCGGCGGAACCAGCCGGCCGGCCAGGCTTGGATGGTCCGGGCCCTCGCCACTCTGGCGGCGGCCCGGTGGGCCGTCTGGACGTCGATGGGGGCTTGGTCCTGGGCGAGATTGCTGGCCTCCTTGGCGATCGAGTCCGCTCTCTCATTCCCCTCCAGTCCGCAGTGCGAGGGAACCCATTGCAGGTGGACCTGCCGGCCTCCCGCCGTCAGGCCCCGGAGGGCTCTCCAGATGGCCCCTCCCAGCGGGGAGTGCTGGGCGGCCGGGCCCTCTCGGAGTGCGGCAAGGGCGGACTGTGAGTCTGTGCAGATTACTACGGGGTCGTCTGCGTGAAGCGGATTCTCCAGAAGAAACGAGAGGGCGGTCAGGAGGGCGACCATTTCAGCCCGGAAGCTTGAACACAGGCGGCCCGCCGGGGCGCGGACCGATCGTTCCTCTCCGTCCGGCCACACGATCAGGGCTCCGGCGCCACCGTTCAGGACGCCGTCGGTGGCCGAGCCGTCGGTCCACACCCAGGTGGCGCACTGCGGGAGCGCCGCCAGGTGCTGGGATGCCGCATTTCTCTTCCAGGTGTCGCTGGCCGCGGTTGGGATGGCGGCTCCTATGTCGAGGCCGAAGGAAACCGTTGGTGACGGTTCCCATGGTGGATCCGGCAGGGGGAGGATGGGCTCGATCGGAGGGCAGATGCCCGCCGCTCTCCATGTCTCCTCGCCCACTCCTCTCCACCCTGTCACGGTGCTGAGGCGGGTAGGGACCTGGCTCTCCGCCACCTTCCGCAGCGGGTCTCCAGCCGGGAGGGCGCGCGCCTTGGCCAGTAGGCGCGCCGCCAGGGCCGTGCGTCGCTCGGCCACCGGGGCGAGGCCCGCCTCCGCCATTACGGCGTGTGCTGGAGTGGACCGGGGGCAGCCGGTTACCACTCTGGCGGCCTCGCGCATCTCCCTCTCCAGCAGCATGATATGGGACGGTGACGCAGCTGGGAGCCAGGCGGCGGCGGCGTGTTCCAGTGCGCCGCGGATGTAGCCGGAGGCGACGATGCGCAGCTGGCGCTCTTCCAGCCCCCACTCACGCCCGGTCAGCAGTCTGAGTTGGTTGGTTCGAGGTCGCACGCGCTGGCGGAGGCTGCGACAGTGGGCTCCGAAGTGGAGCAGTCGGTCCAGTGTGATTCCAAGCAGCTTCAGCTGGTCGCCCGCGACGACCGTCTCCCCTGCCACTTGGACGGAGCAGTTGACGGCGTCCCGGGCCCACTGCGACAGGACCAGCGCCTGAGTCTTCTGGCCGGCAACCACCATCTTGGAAGCGCGGGCCCACTTGACGAGCGCGTCCGCTGCCTGTTGTGCGCGTAGTTTGGCGACCTCGATGTTGTTGCCCGAGCACAGGGCCGCAGTGTCGTCGGCATAGAGGAACGCCGTGGTGCCAGGGGTCTTCTGGAGTTCCGCGGCGAGTGGGGCGGCCCATAACAAGAACAGGGCCGGGGACAGGACGCTGCCCTGAGGCAGGCCCGCCCTGTACACCCGCTCGCCGCTAGTTGCGCTCTGGAACTCCACTCGCGCTCGCCGGTCTCTTAGATACTGCCAGGTCCAGGCGTGGAAGCAGCGCGGGATCCCCAGTTCCATCAGGCGGACCCTGAGGAGTCGGTGGTCGACCGTGTCGTAGGCTCGGGCAAAGTCGAAGGCCAGGAGGACATACTTCTGAGCGCAGGTACCGTCAGGGGGGCTCTTGCCGCGAGACTTCGGTGCGTTCCATCCGTCTTGGACCTGTTGTACGAGGCGGCCGATGCTGTCTTCCACCGACCGCCTCTCTCGAAATCCCACCTGTTCTGGGGGGACCAGGCTGTCACGGTCGACGAGGTACCGAAGACTGGCTAGAATCAGCCTCTCGACGAGCTTGCTGAGATGGCTCGTCAGCGCGATGGGGCGGTAGCTGGCGATTCGTTGCTTGTCCTTCCCCGCCTTCGGGATGGGGATAATCCGGGCCTGCCTCCACTCCCTCGGCACCGAGCTCTCCAGCCAGGACGCGTTGATGGCTCTGAGCAGCGCTCGGCGAGCGACCGGACCCAGGTGAGTGAGGTGCTCGTTGCAGACGCCGTCTGGACCCGGAGCTTTTCTTCGATGAAGGCGTTGAAGTTGGTGGGAGAGTTCCGATTCGGAGAATGGCGCGCAGCAGCCCGTGCGGTGGTTACCGCACTCCTTGCATTGCGGGGACTGGAGTTCGCGCAGTCTCCTCTTGGCCGCTCTGTCCACCTTGGCCGACCTCACTTGGCGCGAGACGTGGGCGTAGGTGGCGTTGAACGCTTCCGCTTTCTCGCTGTCTGTGACCAGGAGGCGGTCTCCTTCAGTCATCGCCTGTCCGGGTCGGTGTTCGTCGCTGGCGCCCTCCCACTTCTTGAGGATCTTCGTGACTCTGCCCTGACTCTGCCCAGGCTTTAATCCTCGCCGGGCCAGGCGGTTGATGCAACCTTCCTAAGGTTTTTGCAAATAGCGTGCGCCGCCAAATTTGTCATACCCTCTTGGGCAACCTTTTGTCACATTCCCTGAAAATATCAGGTCTCTGTCATTTCAGGTCAGGTCACCAGGTCACCAAAGCTGGTACCAGGGTTTCGGAGTCGGAGTCGGAGTCGGAGTCGCCCGGAGTCGTGGCAAGCAGCCAGGAGTCGGAGTCGGAGTCGGAGTCGGTCCAGCTGCCTCGACTCCGACTCCGGAAAGTTAACTGAAGTTTAAATCCGTGCTATCACTTTTCAGTTGTTTTTAACCAGTGGCCCCATGGCAAAATTTGCTTCCGGCGATCACAAACAAGTTATTTTTTTCACACATCTTGTTTTTGTTTTCAAAAACTAACATTGCATCTTACAAATTTCAAGTTTTGTCATAATTTAGTAGGCAAGCATTTTATATTCGCGTTATAACTTCTACTATCAAGGGTCAAAGACTTAATGACAACTGTATATTTACTTTCTTCTTTTATCGCTCCAAAAAGTGCCTAACACAAACACAGACCGACATGATGGCGATGCCCGTGGTCATGACACGGCCACCTTCGTGCTTCTCGGCGGGTTTTCAAGCTGGCCGCCGGCCGCTAGTCTCTAAGGATTCAGCTGCGTCCACGTGGGAGAAATGGTGACCCGCATGAACGAAACCGGAACGATCTCCCGGTGCGCGTACATAGACCTAACATGGCGCGTCATATCACGCGGAATTTTGGCAGGCACCATTGCCCTTTGTATCAGACCCGGAGTCGGAGTCGGAGTCGGAGTCGGAGTCGATCAGGAGCCCGGAGTCGGAGTCGGAGTCGGAGTCGGAAGAGCACTACCACGACTCCGAAACCCTGGCTGGTACAATGTCAGAGTAAAATTGGACTATAATAGCGGCAACGGAATCGCTGGGCTTATCGTTAATAGCGTAACAACCGTAAGACTTAGGGCCACCAACTTTCAGACACAACTTGGGGCAGCCATTTGACACGTAACCTAGGAGTTTTGTGTTCCAGTGACCTCAGGTCAGGTCACAAGGTCACAAAAACCGGTACGTGGTCAAAATGGCACTCAAAATACGCTATTTTGTCGATGAAATCTAGAGTTGTCCATCGATTCGATTCAAACTGTCAGGATATGCTAATCTCACCGAGTTGTTTAACCTCCATCCAGGTTTTCATAGTTCGGGTGACCTGAGGTCATCTAAAGGTCATGACAAATTAAAAAAATTGTCTGAATTGCTCCAATCGTAAAAATATGCTCAATTCCAACATTTTTGTGTTGTTTTAGCTTCATTAGAGATGAATTCGGTGTTTGCTTGCTGAAAAAAGCACTTAGGCCAGGTCATCTGAGGTCAAAATTAGGTCAAACTACGTTTTTGCTAATAACTTCGCACACAATGAGGCTAGAGCTTCAAAAATGGTGTCATTGTATTCCTTGTGATCAGCCCAATCGAATGATATACGATTTGATGCAATTAGATTAACTTCAACTTGATTAATTAATTTAAGTTCACTTGAAAATTAGGAAAATTGTAAGCTTACTTAAACTTGTAACAAAGTTAACCGTTCGATGCGAACGCGGCACGGACGTGCTGAGTTTACTGGTTCTTTTATTTTTGCTCTATTAGATCAAAAGTTATAAGCGAACAACAACCCGGTTTACATAGCATATTTGACGAGGCTCTAGCTCGTTAATTTGGCGATAAGTTCGTTGTAGTGGTCTTCAGATATTTAGAGGGGATCATTTTGTAAATTGTTAAGCACCATTGGCATCTTTTGCAACATCACGGACGGAGATATAAGCTTGCAACAAACCCTATGTAAACCGCGTTAACGTTTGACCTGTTTTAACGATATTTTTACATTTATACCCCCCAAACCCCCCTAAATATTGACCTAAAGCAACCAAATTTCCACAGGGGCGAGATCTCCTATGGGCCCACCTGGTTTTCAGGTGTACCTATTTTGCAGATGGGATTTAAGGCTATTATCGCAATTGCCCCAACATTTTTTCTGTGTGTGTGGTGAGGAAAGGTGAGTATTTAGTATAAATGTAGCACATAGCTGCTATCCAATGGATGATAATTGAAAGCGAAACCATTGCTCCTCTCCCATGCTTTATACTTGGATGCAGTAAACACTAATAAAATGCCCACTTACATGTGACCTATTATTTCAGGTTCATTGAACTCTACAATACACAGTGCCACACTCTGCTGGTGCTCTAAGTAAGCTCAGTTTCCATTTTCCGCCAAGAGATGGCGTCTGACTCGGACTCCGAAGATGACCTGGAGGCGCTGCGCCTGGCGGCTCTACGCTCCAAGAAGTCTACGTCCCGCGCGGCTCCTGCGGCCGCGGCTGTCGTCCAGCCTCCGGCGGCTCCTGCGGCGCCTGTTGGTCTACCTATGGGGGTGGATCTCTCTCGTCCACCTCCCCTGCCGCTGCCTCCGGCAGTGCCTGTGATGGTGCAGCCGCACCAGTGGCCCGCGCATCACCCTCCACATCACCCTCCGCAACACATCCCACATCCTCACCCACACGGCCTACCACAGGCTCTTCCCCAAGGTCTACCACAGGCTCTTCCCCAGCCGGGCGGGTTTCCCCCGTACCTTCCCCCGGGTCTGGCGCCGATCCGTCCCTCCCTCCCGCCTGGGTCTCGACTGGGACAGAGGCAGGGGGATAGGTGGAGGAGGGGGCGGCACGGAGCGAGAGCAGGCAGAGGAGCGCAGCACCCCAGGATAGAGAGGGTGAGTGAGAGAGAGAGAGAGAGAGAGAGAGAGAGAGAGAGAGAGAGAGAGCTCGGGGAGTAAGAGAGCAGAGGGGCGGTCGGTGAGAGCAGGAAGGGAAAGGGAGAGAGCTTAGAGGGGACTGGGAGGAGGGAGGGAGGGAGAGCATAGATGAGGGGAGATCAGGAGAGTTGTTTGGTAAATTAGAGGAGAGTGGTGTTATAGTCCGATTTCTAAGCCTGTGTAATCGTTCAAAGTGCTGTAATGAAAAGCCCTCGCGAAACCTCCATACCTTCAACACTGGCGAGCTAAAAATTTCATCTTAATCTTGATCTTTCTTTCGGCTCTCTATTCATTGTAATACATAGCTCGACTCGTTCCTTACTTATTTGTGCACTGTAAGCGATCAGACTGGCTTTAAAAAAAAAAATCAAACTATATCAGTGCAGCCTGAAACAGCTGTATTCACGCAGTACCGGTACTAGAGTAGGAGTGGAGAAGTCCTGTACAAGTGTGTACAGGAAACATTTATAAACATTTTATAACAAACATTTATAAACAAACATTTATAAACAAGTCACCTAACCAATTGACCTGGGGAATGGACGAGGATGTCCATTGCTTCGGTGACTCAAATTTAGCAGTTCTTCCTCGGTCAGGGTTGATGGATCCACCGTTACTTCGCGCGGTACTTTTAAGACAGACTGTACGCTATGCTCGCTAAGCTCCCTCTCTCTCGTCCACAGCTGCCGGCGCCTCCGGTACGTCGTCCGGCCGGCTCGACATCCACGCTGATCTCCATCGTACCATTGGGTGGAGAGGATGGCACAGAGGACCCCGGGGACCGACCCGCACACAGGGGGCGGCGACGGCGGCGATCAGACGGGTGAGCACATAGCTTTCATTGCTTCCATCGCTTCTATTGTCCACCCCAGAGCTCTGTTCGGTCGCTGTTTTTATCAGCATGCTGTCGATAATTCTCCCATATGAGGAAGTTATTACTGGCGTTTCTTTGCCTCTCAATGGTCAAATGCATAGACCACGTGAATTTGACCAATGAGCAGCCAAGAAATAATAGCAGCATGCTCGCAGCCTGCTGCGACCGAGCAGCGCCAAGCTTCCATTTTCTATTGTCACTTGTGTCATTGTTATTTCCAACGCCTGAAATGTAGTCTTACATATCAGCCTTTTCCTTGATGAGCTTTATTATATATTGATGGAATATCGACTTTTCCTTGATGAGCTTTATTATATATTGATGGAATATCGACTCTGATGTTACTACCCTTTTCTTTCATAGCTAGCCTTCTCATGTCCTGACCGATGTCTTACATTGCAGCTTTTCCCTTACAATATCCTGACCGATGTCTTACATTGCAGCTTTTCCCTTACAATATCCTGACCAATGTCTTACACTGCAGCTTTTCCCTTACAATATCCTGACCGATGTCTTACATTGCAGCTTCTTTCCCTGGCGAACCTCAGCCTTTCGTCTCCTGAATCCCAGATATTTCATCCGTTACCAGGCTCGCCATAGGTCAGTTCATGTTTAGAGGGACTTATAAAGTAGCTTTAGATGTGTAGAGTAGTGTGTACCTCGCATCCTTTAGTGTAATGCGTAATTACGGCTGTTGTTATAGTTGGAGTGTTGCTTTGTTGATTGTTCAATGGAGGGCCTAAATATTTCATTCGTGTTTTTTTAGGTGAACAGGAAGTGGACTCCGTACAAAGTTTTCCTGAATATCGCGAAAGCTCATAAACGTCTCAGTCTTGATTTTGTCACATTCAGATTCTGGTTCATTTAGAAAGTGCTCAATACGGTTTGCGGATCATTTTTCACGGGCTCACAACGTCAGAATAAAATCACAAGGCAGTTCGTGGAATAACACAGGAGAAATGTCCTCGTTATTGTATTTGTTTGGCTCTCATTCGCGATTTTAACCTTGTTTTGCACACGTTTCAGACCAAATCAAGTACCTGAGAAGAGTGCAAACAAGAAAGGTAAGAACAGGGGAATTATCCAGTCTTTGGTCGCGGCTGGCCTACAGCAACCTGGGCCTCGTTTCATAAAGCGAGTCCGTAACTTACGCCGGTTTTTGGTCTTGTATTGCAAGTGCATGTGAAGCGATGACGATAGTTTGAATCGTTGAATTTATTTATCTTGCAAGCAAGAACAGGAGGGAGAAGAGGAAGTAAATTTATCGCTTCACAGGCGCTTGCAATACAAGCCCAAAAAACAGTGAAAGTTGCGGACTCGCTTTATGAAACGAGGCCCAGGTCGGGCCGTGGCAGTTATGAGTTGTGTCACCATCACGGCGTCGGGGGGGGGGGGGGCTACTACCGTCGTGGGGTCTTGCTCCTCTTGTTCCCGTTTTTTTTTTGTGCGCTATGTGTTGCCGTATGTTCTAAATTAGAATAACGAACTTGTCTAAAAGAACGTAAGAAAAAGCAAAAGTTTCATTGCTTAAACGTCATGTGGATTTTGAATGCATTTTTTTAATTTATTGTGTACAAATGTGTCTTAAGTGGTCGAGTTTTCTTGTGAAATCCTGCCACTCAAGATGTTTCTAGACTCTTCCCCAGTTTAATGTCAAAGAAACCTTGCCACTCTGTCACCAACAGCTCCCTTCCCTGTCGTTCGTTGTGTAAAGCCTGCCACTCTAACTATGTCTCTCGTCGTTGCAGTCGTTTGATGTGTAGAATTTGCCATTCTAACGGTGCCCTTCAGATCCCTTCCCCGTCGTTCGAAGTGTAAAACCTTCCACTCGAACAGTTTGTCCCTCGGCTCTCTTCCTCGTCTTTCGAAGTCGGATTTTTCCCTATCATTCGTTGTGTAAAACTGCCACTGTAACAGCTGTGCCCCGTTTCTGCAGTCGTTTGATGTGTAAAACCTGCCACTCTAGTCTCTAACTGTGCCTCGCTGCCCGCTGTTCCCAGAGAGCGCTAAGTTCGCCCGTATCGACAACTCCAACTCCGAAGAGGAAGAGGAGGAGGAAGAGATGACCAATGATGACGTCAGGGTGACGTCACAAGAGGTCGACTCAGCCGGCGATCAGGTGTGTTTGTGTGTTTGTTTGTTTGTTTGTTTGTGTTGTTTTTTAATGTCGTGTGCGACCGAGTGTCTGAACAGTGGTTTAACTGTGTATAGGTAGGTATAGGTCTAACTAACAGGAAAATTAGTATCTTAGAAGGTATGTACAGTTGTTCAGTTGTTCGGTTAGTAGGTATCGAATCGAACTAACACTTATTACACTTATTTGCGTGTTTGCCTCTTAAATTGCTAGCACGTCTATGTGCATGCCTACCATCTTTCTTTTTTCCTCGGAACGCATGTTAACTCCTTCGCCCATCCCTTTCGGCAGGGGACGAATGATGACGTCACTACAACTGCTGATGACGTCACCACGGCTGAAACCGATCTGAATGAACCAACCGTGAGAAGAAAATCATCCGGCTCCTCCACTCATGCCGACGCTGGCGCCGAAGCTGCTGTTGACACCGCCGGCAATGTTGATGACTATGCTGACAAAGATGCCGAAGATCTTTCCGCTACCCCTACCCGAGACGAGACATCCCCCGCTGATGTCGCTTCATCCGCCTCCACTCCTACACGTGACGAATCAGCAGCGCGACCCTCCGCGTCCGGGGAATCCCCGTGTGACGACTCGGCTGACCAATCAGGAGACGAATCGGACGCTGACGTCATTGATATGGGTCTGGGCGAGGACGATTTTGATAAGATGCTGGCAGAGTTTGAGGACTTCGTGGAGAATCCCGCGGATAAGGCAGAGGGGAAGAGGAAGAAGAGAAAAGAGCGGAGGAAGTCGCGATCGGAGGCGCCTGGTGGGGCTAAAGGGGATGGGGTGGGTGGGAGTTCTACACAACTGAGAGGGAACGAGGATAGGAGCAATGGGAGGACCGGCGCAACAGAGGCTGGGCGGAAGTCGCCTACTTCCGGTTTACAGAGAGACCGGAAGTCATCGGGTTCCGGTTCACAGAGAGAACGAAAGGCTTCCGGCTCCCAAAGAGACCGGAAATCACCTGTGTCTGGTTCTCAGAGGGAACGAAAGGCCTCTGGTTCTCAGAGGGACCGGAAGTCACCTATTTCCGGCTCCCAGAGGGACCGGAAGTCACCCATTTCCGGTTCCCAGAGAGACCGGAAGTCACCTATTTCCGGTCGTCATCCCTCTCCCATGCCGTCTCGCCGTCGCGCCATTTCTCCACCTCCCGCCAAGAGACCCGCCAGTCCGCCTCTTAGCCGCAGCGCAGGGTCACCGAAACGACCGGCCCTCAGCTCCCCGGCTCGCCGCAGCCCGCTCAGAGGCTACGGAGGCTCGCCCGCGCGGAGAAGCCCGGCTAGAGGCTATGGATCACCGGCACGCAGGAGTCCGCCAAGAGGCTACGGGAATTCGCCGGCAAGGAGGAGCCCGGTTCGAGGTTACGGGAGCTCACCGGTTCGTCGGAGTCCGGGCAGAGGCTATGGATCGCCTCTGAGGAGGTCACCATCGCCTGTGAAAACTGCTCTCCGGGACAGGTGAGTTCGTGGTGTTATGTGAGATCGGTAGAATTGTCTCGGTATTTGTTGTGAGCGTATTGGGTCTGATAGGAATAGACGAGTGATGATGGGACTTATGTATGATGATGTGATGTCGACATGCAATGATGTGATGATGAGCTGAGACATTTTCTGTCTCAATTTTTACCTCTTTATTTGATTTGACCTCTCTACTTGCGTCAGGTTCACAGCGATTCGTTTTACAACTGATACCCACAGGTCGCCACCTCTGTCCTCCGTTCTAACCCTCATTCTGTCGCCACAGATCACCAGCGCCGCCGCCGCGGCCGCTGCCCCTCACCCAGGAGGAGTTTATCAGGAGGATGAGACTGGGCCTGCCCCTGAGGGACGGCTCCCCGTCACCGCCGCCGACTGCCGGGAGGCGGGGCTCCAGGTCCAGGTGAGGGAGCGAGGGTGTGTTTTAATGGCGTGCGGGGTCGGTGGGCTGCCGTACACTAACTCGCGCAATCAATACGGGAGGAGTACAGGTTGTATTATTTTTGTACATCTCTTGCCTATTACATGATTCCCTATTCAGTAATAAACACGGTATTGTTGAATCTTTTGGCCACACTGCTGGACTTCATTCACTTGCACCAACTCTCGCTCGCTCACCTAACCCCCTCTCTCTCTCTCTCTCTCTCTCTCTCTCTCTCTCTCTCTCTCTCTCTCTCTCTCTCTCTCTCTCTCTCTCTCTCTCTCTCTCTCTCTCTCTCTCTCCCTCTCTCTCTCTCTCTCTCTCTCTCTCTCTCTCTCTCTCTCTCTCTCTCTCTCTCTCTCTCTCTCTCTCTCTCTCTCTCTCTCTCTCTCTCTCTCTCTCTCTCTCTCTCTCTCTCTCTCTCTCTCTCTCTCTCCCCCCCCACCCACAGGTCTCGCTCTCCACTCCGCCGCCGGCGCAGTCTGTCACCCCCTCCTCAGGGCGGACGGAGAATTCGTACACCGAGTCTCAGTCCGGAGAGGCGGAGGCCTGGCGCGGCGGCGCCGCTTAGACAGCCCATACAGCAGAGAGGAGGCTTCAGACGGGTGAGAGGGGATGGGGAGAGAATGGAGACAGGTAGAGAAAGGGAGGAGGAGGGAGACAGATGTGTGAGAAAGAGAGAGGGAGGGAAGGAAGGAAGGAAGGAAGGAAGGAAAGAGAGAGGGAGGCATAGATGTGTGAGAATTAGGAAGGACGAAACGGGAGAAAAAAACTGTGAGAGGCAATACAGTAGCAGAGAGGAGGGCTTAGATGGGTGAGAGGGAAGGGGATGGAGAGAGGCAGGGAGGAAGGGAAAGGGAAAGACATGGAATTGGAAGGGAAAGGGCTTGATCACACTGTGTTAGTAAGGGGAAGGCTACGGTTTCAGCTCAGTACACAATGGTATTGGTCAGTGTGAAGTAACGTGATTTGTTTACGACAAACTGGCCCGCCGAATGTGTCACACCACCACACTTTTCTGCTCACACTAGAGGTGCAAAATGTGGACCCGAGGACCCGGTCCAAAGAACCAGTCTGGACCCATATGGGTCCAGACCGGTTCCTGGGAATTTTCTGACGGGTCCAACCGGGTCCTTCCATAAACCATACATAGTGGACACTACATATGATTGCAAAATATGAAGTGAATGGAAAAAAAACATTTGCTCATGTACGTTTCTTTGCACACTGTACTGCTCATGAATATTTCCCAGTGGGAAAAATGCTGTGTATCATGATGCAACTAATGATACCTACAAATAGTTTATATTAATTGACTTTTGGGGAACGGGTTCAACTGGTTCCGATTCCAACGTAGACCGGGTCCAACTGGTTCCAGAAACATCCAGTCGGGTCTGGTTTGAGTCTGATTACCTAAATTTTCACCTTTTGCCACCTCTAGCTCACACCACCACTGTAAGTCACTAGAGTAGACCACTCACCCCCCCCCCCCCCCCCCCCGCCGCCTCCCCCAGGGTGCCGGCGCCGCCGCTCGTCCCGCTCGCCGCAGCGTCTCGCCCCCCGGCGCCACCGTCGGCCGTCGAGCCGCCCGCGGCGGTCTGTCCCGACGGCAATGGGAGGAGCTCCAGATGGAGCAGTGGAGAGCCAGAAGACGTCAGGAGGCAGGAGACACAGGAGCAGGAGGCGAGGATATGCGGCAGACCCTGGAGGAGGCCAGGAGGCTGGATCAGGAGCGCCGGATGCTTGATCAGGAGAGGAGGAGATTGGAGGGGGAGCAGGGTCAACAAAGGATGCAGGACGGTGGCAGGAGGTGGAATGAGGATAGCAGGAGGAATGAAGATACGAGAAGAGGTGAAGATTCACGTAGAAATGACAATACAAGAAGGAGTGAAGATACACGGAGGAATGACGATACAAGAAGGAATGAAGATGCACGGAGGAATGAGGATACGAGGAGGACTGAGGACAACACTAGGAGGAATGAGGACACGCGCCGGTTTAACGACAGGAGGGTGGACGACGCGAGGAAAAGGTTAGATGAGCGGAGGAAGCCCGATGAGGACAGGAGGAGGACTGATGAGGACAGGAGGAGGACTGATGAGGACAGGAGACCATTGGAGGACGCTAGGAGGAGGCTGGAGGACAGGAGGAATGACGACAGAAGAGGAGGCGATAAGAGGACGGAAGATAGGAGAGTTGATGAGGATAGGAACCGTAGGGAGGATGATAGGAGGCGGTCGGAGGAGAGAAGAAAACAGGAGGAAGAGAGGAGGAAAAAGGAAGAGGAGGATAAGAGGAAGGAGGATGAAAAGAGAAGGAAAGAGGAGGAGAAGAGGAAGAAGGAGGAAGAGGAGGAGGCCCGGAGACAGGCAGAGTTCGAAGAGCGACTCAAAGGGTGGGTAAAACTTGGTGTCCAGCACCTTTCAGCCTTCGCTAAATGAGATACTGGTTCAGCTGTTTAGTGGCTTAGGAGCCAAGATAGTGTGTATAGAGCAAGGTACTCATAGCAAGATAGCTTCCAATGTATATATGATGTTTTGAGACTGAAGTCGTTTAACCCTCGCCCGTAAACGGCGATCTGCCACCTTCGCCCATGCAGGGGGGGGGTTGGTGCGACCCCCCCCCCCCTGGCGTTTGAAAACGGAGCGTCGTAGAGCTTAGCGGAAAAGACCAACGGATTGCTCTCGCCGAGATCTCGCGATTGGTGGTATATTTTTTGGTCCTAGGTCAACATTTGACCTACTTTTGACCGGTCAAAGGTCAAATTTTCTGAAATATAGACTTTTTTCAACTTTCCGCGGCGATTGCGGCAAAACGGTGGGAGATATCGACTTGAAACCTTCACTATCGTGTTCCTTGATCAATTCTCTATCGTTTGGTATGTATTTCGTTTCCCTAGCTCTAAAAATGGCGCGTTGGGAGCGCCGGAAGTCGGCAAGGTCACAGTCGGCGGCAGAAATTCGAAAAATCAAAATTTAAATTTTTGAAATCTGATTGTATTTTTGGATTTGGAAGGTCCATTTGCTCCCTATAGAAGCTAATATTGCTGCATATTCCCATTGAGGTGACAAGAATTAGCAAAATAGTGGTTCGGGCGCTTTTCAAAAATAGTACCGGACGCTGTTCCTCTTGTGACGTCATAGCTCCGTGACCTGACCTGACCCGGTCAAGTTTCTTATACCATATGATAGCCAATACTTGCCCCAACATGCATGGGAAGTTTCATCACGATCCATCAACCGATGTCCGTACCACCGGCAGGAAACCTCGGGCGTTAGCACTCAGTTTGTGAAAATCCGGCCGGAGGCTGTTCCCTTTGTGACGTCATAACTCCGTGACCTGACATGACCCGGTCAAATTTTTTTATCAAAAGATGCGCAAGGTTTGCCCCATAAGGTACCCAAAATTTGGTGGCGCTGCGCGCCGCCGTTTTTGCACTATTTCCGAAAAACCTCAGGGGGGGGTTGCACCAACCCCCCCCCCCCCTACATGGGCGAGGGTTAAGGAAATTTTTGCTATTCGATTGGTAGTAAAGTCAATGAAATGAACCGAGTTCACTATATTAATGAGCTCAAAACTGAAATCCTTTTATTTTACCTAGACGAGACGAACTGTAACTGCACTCACGTAAAAATGTTGATATATCTCTAATTTTACCTCCCCTCCTCCCTGTCCAGGTTATCCAGCGAGGACCGTGAGCGCGTGATGAGACGGCGACAGAAGTTTGAACGCAACAACCCGGTAGTGGTCAAACCGCAGAAGATTCGACTCCGAGACAACGCCGCCGCGCCTGCCCCCGCGGCAGCGGCAGCTCCGGACCCTACAGCGGCGGCTGACGAAACGACAACGACGGCGACAGTTGGGAGGGCGGGAAAGAGGAAGAGAAAGAAGGAAGCCATGCTCAACGCAAAGGTTTGTTGACTATGTGCCTTATCGTCTATCGAGCAATATCGGGGGGAGCAATGGCCAGTCGGTTACACTGTGATATCTTAAAAATGTGAAGAAACGGCAGTGTGTTAGGCGTTAGCCAACTTTTTGGGTTTGCTTAACGGTAATTTGCCCAGTTGATGTTGAGAAAGTCCTTTGGATATGTCTGAATATGCTGTCATATGTGTTTGTGTCAGTGTAGTGTGGGAGTGATCTTGGGTTTTGGTTTTAGTAGGAAGCCTGCGGTTTTAAGCTAAGCTCGGTATGATGGCAGTGTGTGGGGTTCATATTTGACTTCCCGGCTTTGTTTATTGTGGAGCATTATAAGGCAGTTCGTATATAAACCGACAATGCATGACTACAATGATACTTCGTTGAAACTTGGTCAACTTGTATGCGGTCCCAGCAAAGACCATGAACTCTTTCTAAAATCCACCTTGCAATCCTTTTCATGCAAAACTGCACCTTCGGTGAATAATTTTCCCTTCAGCTCTGATACCACATTCCCACTAAAGCCTGCAGTACTAGTCATGGCGTCACTATCCGTACTAGAGATACCAATCGGATACCAACTTTTTTGTATACCGATACCAAACCGATACCAACCTGGTGTTTGGTACATCAAGGCTTTTGCACTTGGTATTTTGTTGGTATTATGACTCCTCACTTCGTACAAGAGACTGTAAATTTGGTAAAACGTTGGTATTTCGCTGATAATCCCAAGTTGGTTTCGGTATTTTTCCATTGGTATTGCTGGTATTTGTTTTGGTATAGGTATCCCGATTTTCCGTAAATGACGTCATAATCCATACGCCCCGCAGCGTCAGCTGAGTCGCCGAGAGTCGGCCGGCGACGCACTGGATCTGGGGCTGGATGACGACTTGCTGGAGATGGAGAGGGAGCTGGATGATCTGGACTCGCCCCCCACCGCCGGCCCGGCCTTTAGTGGAGCGGCCAGCACAGCCGGGACCAAAGGTGGGTCTGCGTCTGAAGGCTGTTCAGCGTGTTGAAGGCCGTAGCAGCTACGGTGTGCTGCTCTTGTTGGTCTTTTGGGCGCCGATGACCACTGTAGTCCGGGCGCCCAAAAACCGCAATTCATCATCATCATCATCTTGTTGGTCTTTGGTAGCTCATCAGTTACTCTAAAGTGACGGTGATTTTCCGTGAATGTGCTCATGGTTCAGTCTTGTGTCAAGTTGTTGGTTCCATTGCTTGCAGCTTTTCTTCTTGTCGTCTTTTTTGTTGTACTGCACAAGATAATGCGTTAATTTATCCTGCTGTTATCGATGAAAAGTAAAACTCATGTTAAGATCGTGAAAAGCTGGTGATAGAATCTCGCCTGCAGCTGGTCTCATAATCTTACGTAGGGGAGACCCGGGAGGTATGGGCCCCCTGGAGGTATGGGCCATCGCAGTTTTGAAGAAGTGTTGCGTGTTTTTACACATTTGACCGCGTAAACTGGTAGCAGCCATTCCGTTATACAACCCACGTGATTTTCAAAATCTTCCTCAGTCTTCTTTGGCAATGAGCGGTGATAAAGCGTTTTTGCCCTCTTCGAGTAAAATACTGTACATACAGGAAATCTGTGATAATTTTGAACCAGGCTCGTTTTATGATGCCAGACCAATGCTAACATTAAAATTAAAGCATGCAGCTTAAGGCTGGATAGACAATTTGAAGCTTTCTTGCAAGATTATGAGCTGAGATGCTACGCAAATTCTGGCGTCCTTACCGGGAGGTTCGGGCCACCCACCCCCGTTGATCATAAATCAATAAAAAGATGCTTTCATGGAGTGTCATCTTCAATAAGTTTTATTTTTGTCGCGCAAGGTTGAAAATTTAGCTTCAAATTTCATTCCAACAGAAAAATATTATATATTTTATTTCATGATGCATGATTGAGTTTACCAAAATACATATGTGCCCAAGTGACCTCCATGAAGTAAGCTGTTCGCCGCTTATGCGGTTCCTGGGCTTTAAGAGAGATCAAGGTAGACACCAGCTACGAGTATTGTTCTCATTGTCTAGAAAAGGATATGAAACATGGCACCGGCCCATGCCTCCCGGGCCATGGCCCATACCTCCCGGTGCATTTTAATGGATCGAAAAAGCGCATGATTTATTAAAAGTTATCTCGAGACAAAATAGTTGATCCCAGATGCCTAATAACAGGCACACTTTGCAGGCGAAAGGCAATTTCACGTGCACAGAGTGAAAAACCGGGTGCAGCCACTGCCCACTGGAAGAAAATTGCCTTTTCACAAAACCGGCCCATACCTACCTCCCGGGTCTCCCCTATCCCTTCAGTCATTATTTCGCTGAGCCAGGCTCTTGAGAATAAAACTCACATCGAATATCATCTCATCTGACATAACACTGACCCTGCCCCCCCCCCCCCCCTCAGCCGATGCTGGCGGTAGTTCGTCTGACCGCCGGCCGGCCGGCCGACCCCGGGAGAGAGCACGGAGCAGGGAGAGAGGGAGGAGGAGAGCAGAGGGAGGAGGAGACGGCGGCAGGCGGGTGGTGGTCGTCGGCAGAGTAACGGAGACCGGCCAGCAGGAGAAGAGCAAGGAGTCCAGCGAAACGACCGGTGAGCCAAATAAGCAGATGAAAGTGTAGAATAATTGGTGAACTTTTCCTCGGATAAAGAAATATTAAAAGGGGGATGTGAGGTATTATATTCTAGTCAGTGAATTTTTGCCCACAGGGCATCATCATACAAGCATTCAGCATTCAGCAACATTATTCAAGCATGAAAGGAAGAGAATTATTTAGGGGGATCCAGTCTAGTGTTTTGCTTTCGGGGAGAAGTTCAACTCATAGCTGCTTGTTCCGGCGAAAAAGCTGTCGAATGGGGGAAACGTGGTCGATGATTTGGGCCCAGAGAGAGAGAAATGAGCGGAGGGCTTGGCCACGTCATTTTGTCATGAACCTTGGGACGTCCGTCGTTTAGGTATTCTGCCTCAGAAGTGACTATATTCAGGTGACGTTGTTTTATTTGTTTTCTGTTTTGTTGGGTTAGGTCCTATGGGTCTGACAAGACCATTTCAGAGCCGGAAGGGTGATAGGAATTGTCATCCTAGTCACTAGTGAGTCACCGGGACTGATCCCATCCAGTGGATAGGCCGCCCAGCCCCCCAAGCACTCTTTGCACCCGACTACTGGTGTGCTTTCTTGGAAGCAGCAGTGCCGCGGCTCCAAGGGAGCAGCCCGCATGAGATAAAGTTACCTGTCCAGCCCGGATCAGGGGTTACGGCGTGGAGGAGAAGGATTTGACTGTCCTGAGGATAGATTAAACGACGGAACAGGGCAGGTGAAATTCATAGCTTTCGCCTTTCGTGATTGGCTCACGGTATATAATGGCCGTCACGTTTTTTTTTTTCAATCGTGTTTAGCCTTGCCCTGCAGTGCACCTACCTCAAACTAACACTGTTTCCTATGTTCCCCGGTAGATGTCTCTGCCGTCCGTCCGACGTCGTCCGTCTTCTCGCGTCTGGGCGCCGGAAAATCTCAGAACAAACCTTCAACATCCGACTCCGGCGGCGGGCGACGCAAGCTCAAGTTGAAACGGGGCACAAGAGATGGCGCCACCGACACCGGAGGTGAGCCACAACGCACGCCTCTGTTTTCAGAGTGTGGAGACTCGACGGAAGGCGTCGCTACCGTCGGAGCTACGACTATGAAGGCACGGCTTGGGAAGAAACGGGGGAGAACTTTGAATGTGATGGGTATTCTGTGATGTTTGTAAAATGCCTGTGATTGTTTTTTTTTTTAAGTGTGTGAAGAGCTGCAAATATTTATTAAGCAGCTCTGGTCTCTCAGAGCAGTAGAGGTGGATAAGGTAGATTTTTTACCATTTTACTCCCTTGCCATTCTATATAAGACATGGAATTATGTCATTCTAAGATTCCATATCGCGATGGCGAAGGTTACGCCATTTTTAGCAGCCGTTTTGCTTGATATCGTAGTTCCCAAATAATGAGCATTCATCCAGCGTTATAAATGGATGCGTTTGATCTCTTATTCATTCGGATCTGGTTATAAGATCTGCTTTATCAGGCATATTCCTTGCTTTTGGGGCTTATGTTACTGTTCTGTTTCTTGTTTTATCTCTTATAACTGCATAATCTGGTCATTTTACCAGTGTACAAAGTGATGCTATATCGTGTTATCGTATCTTATCGTATAATCGCGTGTCGTATTTCGTACATCGTACTCTTCCGCTTTGGGAGGCCTACCGCTTATACCATAAACAGAGTTCAAAAAGCTGGTCAAAAGCTATGCAGTTAACACCTAAAAAATACTAACAGTGCATTGTTATCCAGTATCAAATATCAAAATAACCTAAGCGCTGTACAGAACACGTATAATGTTTAAAAAATTGTGGTGTGTTTTATACGTTCCTTTATGCCACATGCTATGGAAACGTCTGGATGTCGGGCTTTACAAGTTATGTGCCATCGGCGCCATATTCGTCTAGTCTTGAGCTAAGTTCCGCCTGTGGCTGTCGATTATGAAGCTGCCGCTGATCTCTTATCAGCTAATCAGCGTGCCATGTCAAGGATCTCTTGCTCTAGACAGCATTTCAGATCTTGTTCCACGTTTATGAAATAGGCGGTTTTATGTTCGATTTGTCGAAACACATCAAATGTGTCTGAAAGACATCGCATGTTTTGATGGAACTGACCATAATATAACGTTATCACCATAATATAACAATAGTGTTGTTGTCTTTTGTTGCTGTTGTTTTTTGCATGATTGTAGAATGTATTGTCTATCTGAACTTATTGATGTGTATCTGATTTTCGTGCAATTTTTTATTCAATGTGTGCCATAAAATGACTGATTTCCCATCAGCAATCTATCATCGAAAGCACTATAATCATAGATATGTTGTTATCAGTATCATGGAAGGAATATGTGTATCGTACACACTGACTACCGTCCATATCTTGCATATAGTTGTATCTCTGAAATCTGAATCCGCGCCCACTCCACATACTGAATATGTGCCTTTCAATGTGATTCCAATGTCACATGTGATACACTGTTATGTTATTGATAATGAGCGTGTTCGAGGCTGTGATGGTCGTTGCGCTGTTCGTATATGCGCGTTGTGTCGTAGATCGAAGCCATTCTACCTCTGTGCCGTTTGGCATGCTCCGCCCGCCTCTGAAACTGTACTGTGTTTTTCTGTCTATTGTATCCTTTACTGTGTATCGCTGGCCTGCTTACTATAGTCTGGCAAACATAAGACAGGACGGATTTAAAGTGCAACGGTTACTGATGCACGTGTCTCTATATCACTTCCTATACGCCCGAGAGGATTATCCTCAATATTGTAGTTTCAAATCTCAAATATTCTTTAGTCTAAATATCAAATCTACTCTCAAGCATATGTGCGTTCTCCAAAGATCCATGCACGTATGAAGTGTTTTAAGGCGCTTCAGTTCTGTTCTTTCTGGCGTTTGCCGGGCTATAGTCCCTCTAGCACTCAAATCCCGCATGCATCCTGATGGCCGTTACTTTGCTGTTATAATATGTATACTTCCCGTGTAGGGTATTTACCACAGGAAAGAGTCGATGGCAGTCGGACGATCACGCCCGACCGGCCATTGGATATTTCATCGGTTGTCATGGTGACGGAGCCGACTCGGAAATCCCGGCACGGTAACTCTGCACTACGCCGTAGTGCATTCCGACAAATGCACTACGATGGTAACCTCAATGTAGTGGATTTTGTGGTAATGCACTACGATATGAAGTGCTGTGCGATTAGTGATATGTTTTCCTTCATGAAACTGCTCGTCGTTTTACAGCTTCTGATGACTTATCGAACCCTCAGGGATTCAATATTTTCTGCCAGCAAAGAATCCACATAAGGTCTTTGTATTACTTTGTTCAAATTCCCTCCCTAGTATTCTGTCTTTCACAGGTCGACTATGTGTCCATTGGAGGCGGCTGATGTAGCTAGCTCTGTCAGATGTATTTGCCTTTTCTCTACAGGTGTGATTGTTTGAAGGCTGACCTCGCCAATATTTGGCATGCATTTTTACACGACATTTTACAGACGGTGCATTTGGATTTTGGAAGCAGTCTCGATTCCCCTACCCGGAGTTCGTTCTGTAATCTGTATCGACCCCATTTGACCGTGCCATGTTTGTCTTTGTCGCGTTAGGCCGCGCCGTCACTGCCGCCACTGCGCCAGATCCGCTCGAAAGCCACCTGCGCAAAATTCGCGCCAGAAACGCCGCCATTGTGCGCCGCACACAAGAGGTGGCCAAAGATAAGCACCTCTATGGCTGAACGCCCGCCCGCCTCCGCCGAGCCGGCGAGTCGCCTGCCATCTGCCGGCCGACGGCACAAGCTGAGGTTACTCAGCCGTCCGCTGGAGCGCTGATGTGCACACACCGACCTGCTGTACAATGAGAGGTGGGGTTGGTCGCAGAATATTGTACACGTGTGTATTTTGGCGATTTTCGGTTTGTCATGTGAATGTTGAGCGTGTTCTTGGCGGTCATAAGTGGTTCCTGATGAATGTTTAACGATTATTTAGGCGATTTTCTTGTCAATTTGCAACTGTTTGGCTGATATTTGGCGGAATTTTGGCGGTGTGAGCGGATTTGTTCGTTTTTTGGCGCGGTGTTGGGCGAAGTGGCAAATGTTTGGCGATATTGTTGGTGTAGGTATCTTGCGGTTTCGTTTGGGGGGGGGAAGGGGGTCGTGCCTGATAAACGATTGCTGGAAAATAAGCCGGTTTTCATGAAAACGTTACCGGTTTTCTTATATAGACATCACTGGTTTGTCTTTTTTCATTCACGCGTCTTTCAGATGTGTCGATGGAACTGGTTTCTATTCAGTCATTAATGTACTACAATTTGACAAATTGTCAAACACTTGGCAGATTTGTGTGAATTGTATCGATATCCGAAGCAGTGTTTTGTTTTCTTTAAAAAAGGTGATTTGGACGTGTTGTGTTCTTTGCCTATCTGATCCCAGATATTGGCCTTTCTCATAGTGTGAATGGATGATCGACCTGTCTGAAAACATTGCGAATATATATTCGATATTGTGAATATATGTACAAACAAGCCAAATACCTTTTTATTTTGTGATTATGTGGCGGTTTCACACGCACGAAGGAGTTTCGTAAGTTTACGCTACAAAAGCTCGGGTCGGCCGGAGCGGGCGGGCGGGGCGGCGGTCGCTGCGGGTGCGGCGCGGGCGTGCGTGCGGTGAGGTGATCCGACTCGGGCGATAGCATTAAGAGCCGAAAGGTGCTGCGATTTAGGCAAAATGCTTTTGCACCTATTGGCGATCATTGCTTTTGTACGTGTCTTGCTAAACGAAATAAAGTTATTCTATCTATCTATCTATCTAGCTATCTAAGCATACTCAAACGCACTTGCAGACGGACATTAAATGTATTTATTCGTGATATCTCCTTCCAAGTACCACACGGGTCACGGATGAAATTTCAGTATTTTTGGGGGGGAACCGGTCGGGTGAACCAGCGCATTGATATGCTGAAGTCGATATGCAACCACGGACTAACCTAACGCTTCTCATAAGTACTCAACTACTGGTACTGTTAGCTCAGATAAAAAACGTAGTTATAAAAACGTAGTTACACTAGTCATAACATCACACAGCTGCTCTTCAAACTATCACCGGCAAAGGAATTGAAATCTTACGATAGCATGTCCCCGAGTCTGCGTAGACCTGAAGACTGCAGGCAAGCGTAAGTATGACAACAGTGTACGAGCCGGCGGGGCGAGAGCGGGTATTCGGCGAGAGACTGCACGTGCTCATATAAAACTAACACCACATCGGGAAAACAATTAGCGAACGGAGACTGCACGGGAGCGTGTGACATGACCATTATTGACAATAACACTACGAGCGGCAAGAGACTGCACGTGAGCAAAAGAGAGTAGCACCACTACAGAAATGAGAGGGCAGCGGGTGGAGACTGCACGTGATATAAGAGAGTAGCACCACCGCAAAACCGAGATGAGCGAAGAGACTGCACGGAAGCATAAGACAATAGCCCGACTGAGATAGGCGGAAGCCCGCGAGAGACTGCAGATTCGCATAGAAACTTATCACCAGTGATGTGCATTGTGCACTGTGCACTCAGTGCAGTTCAGCGTTTTATCTGGTTTTGCAAGCGTTGTGACGAATCGTTGAATTTCTGTTTTCTGTCTCAAGTGTTCTAGCTGAAGCAATCGTTCATCATATGACAGCCCTGGTGATGAGTAGCAGGGCCCGGTTTTGATCGCCATTCCACCCGGAAGTCAGAGCCTGTGACCTGTTCTAGTGGCTCCCGATCTCATCACCAGCTTCCACCTACCACCATAAAAAGGAGAGTGTAGATGTGAGCTGCCACTTCTCGTCACTGCCAAACATGTCACCTCATTAAACGCGCACTAGTTTTGTACAAACCAATCACACCACTTCCCGTTCCACTATCACTTTTCATTGGGATGAGACCGCTACCATATGCTACCAGTAACGGTAAGGTGCCAGTTACCATACCGGTACCAGTTACTGGCTGTCATACGATGCTGTACCGGACGGACGGGGCTGGGACGGGTGGGGCCGAACATCAGGTCAGCCAGTCGGCTTTACATCCCGTCCCTGCGACCGGTAGCGACGGGATACATTGTTGATAAATACGGACGTCTTCTCTTCCGCATCATGAGAATGGCAAGTATTGAGACGTTACATGTTTTTCATGACATTGGCGGCTATTATTTCCAAGATGTCTGTGCTTGTATTTCATGCTGCTTTTTTATCTAATAGATTTATAATCTTAATATTCATTCCATTTATGTTTATACATTACTGCGTCTTCTTCAAGAAAAAAATTCACGATATCCCCAGCAAAAAGAGCCGTGCAGGGGCGTTTTCTATATGAAATGTTTCACTTCAAAAACGATTTATTTTTCATGTTGCCGCAATCAACCATTGGACGCGGTATAACACGTGCAATTGCGTATTTATTTGTTTATTTATTTATTTATTTATTTATTTATTTATTTATTGAACACATCAAACACATCACTCTTATAAAGGAGGCTATTTATCCATGTTTTCGTCATACGAGCGGACAATTTTCTTTTTTATCTATTCGATTTGACGGTCCACTGTGGCCATTTCGACTACCAAGGGGCAAGAGTTTAGCTGTGTTGAAGGGATAAGTGTATGGACAGACACCGAATGGCACGACTACTTCATGTAGTACAGCTGGGCGGGGCTCAGACGGGTGGGGCAGGGTCACCCGGTACCCATTCCGACAACCGGTGCCCGCTCGACCTCCACCGGACGCCGGTGAGGTGTTTCAGTCGTCACGTGAACGTAGTGGAGTGCAGTGACGGTCAGCACAGCGGAGAGAATAGTCCCCCAGAGGCGAGAAAACCGGATCTGGCAGCATTGGAGAGCGCCAGACGGGGAGAAGAGGAGAGAGGTGGAGGAAGATTTTCCGGGATCTCTGAGATATTGTGATAGAAATCTGCTTTTGAAGATATTTTGACGGCCAAATGCGGGCGATGAATATTTTGTTGCTGGTAAGTTGTTTGTTTGAACTGTGAATTGAACTTTTTTGGGCTATTTCTAACGAATAAGAGTGCAATATTGTTGTATGTTTATAAACAAGAACTGCATATCATGGTATATTTTTAGCTCAAAGTGAGCTTCTTGCCAAAACCATATCCATAAAAATGTTTGAATCGGAAGTAGGCTAACTAGAACCCTAGGTCCTAGGATTTAACTGAAATTTCAGATTTACAGCGGACCCTTGTCAAAAAAAAAATGTTTTACGTTAGCTCTAAAGAAACATTTCGAGGTGAACCGCTTCTTCATCGTGCAAAATTAAAAAAGAGTAATAATTTTCTTTATCTACAAACCAAACTTTCTGCTATCGTTTTTTTTTTTTTGTCTCATCCTGCCATTGCACACGTTATTCAAGCCTGAACCATTCGCTTCTACGTTCAAACCAAGTCAAGGCCTCGCTCTCAGATCATGGCTATGTTTAGCGGTGGGCACCCTTCAGACCGAGCCGTGGGTCGATAATATCGTCAGGAATGCAGCCTCTAAATTCGACCTCGAACTCCGTGTGATTTTCTGATACACAGTGTCAGTCTGTCAGTCTCTCCGCAATGATACCATCCACGTGATATGGATGCCCCATTTCGCTGGGTGAGTGATTTACTGATGCCCCAGTTCGCGAAACACGCCGGTCGCCTGTTTTGCATAGACGATATCACAGCAAACTTGTTGCGTTGGACTATCTCATGACCCATCTTTATTACTTCACTCAGCTACTTGCTACTCGATTATCAGACATGTACCTACCTAAGTGGAATGTTAGTGGCGTTATGAACAATGAGCATGTGGTCTTGTTTGCGCTTTTCCAACGCAAGCATATGTGCGCCATACTCTAACCAGTTATTTACCGGGTGGCCCAGAAAAAACGTTCCGAACTTTGGAGGCCTATGTATCAAATTCGAGTACAAATAACGAGCCAAAATTTTCATCAAGTTTGTGTCATTTCTTTGCGCATTGATATGCCAAATTATAACACTATACCATTATTTTCAAGCTGGCAATCTTGAGTTGAATTAAGCAAGACGTTTTTGCTTTTTTTGCCGATGTCAAACGATAGTGATAATTGGGTTAGACCGTCTCATGTTATAAAAAAAAAGAATAAAAAATAGAGCACGTGAATGAAACCAACACGTATGTTCTTATTTTAAATATTTTTGTCTCACTTATGTGCCAAATATTCAAATACTGATCCAAAATGGTGCTCATGGATGCCATTCGTTTCAACACCAAATCATGTTTCGAGCAGGAGTGGCACGGTGCATGGATTACTGCTGATTACTTTCCTTTCAGTAGATCAAACAGTAAATCGACCGGAGAAGGAAAGCAAACTAAAGCAGGCTGGTTCCTGTGCCAGAAGGCCACAGAATAGGAAGCTTAAGAAAAACAACATTGCCAGCAGATGACAAAAAAAACTGGTTGAAAAGCTACCCTTTCCCAGGAATGTCAGCCAGGAAAGCATTTGAGCCACAAGATGGTTAGAAAACTGGAAACTTCTTCCGATGCCGCTGGCACAGAGCCATCGTGGTTGCCTGAGGGAATGTGTCATCCTGAGACCCGAACCATCAATGAGACTAGCTGCCAGTAGAAGTCATGGCTCTAGGCCGCGGTGCCGCTGGGTGAAAGTGACCCGTTCACTCACATTTTGTAGTAAACATCGGAGCAAAAAAGTAATTTTTACATGGCATGCTTGAAACACGAACCGTTTAAAAAGTAATTTACCGAACACCATGAAAATCACACCATTTACTGAAAATGTGTGCCGCATTGACTATTTGAAGTTTCAATGTTGTATCTTTATCACTTTCTAAGAAATCTTGATTTAAAGTTGGGAACGTTTTTTCTGGGCCACCCGGTATAATATGATCATCAGAATGCTGAATTTAATGCGATATGTAGTTCCATTAAGGCTGTGTCTAACCGTTCCACGCATCATACCTAATCTGGGCCTATGTCGGAGCGAGCGAGATCTTACGTAAAATAGCAGAAATTTCTTAGTACGAGCGGCCGGCCGGCCGGCCGTGGTCACCCATTTGCAAGCTTATATCTCAGCAACCACTTGACCGATTTACTTGCGATAATTTTTGTAGGGTGGCTTCATTCCTTCTACCAAGCATTGAACTATACCGAGTCATGTGGGTGACCCCTTATGCACGCGCCCCATATGCCTTATAACAATTGCAATATCTCGGTAACTGGGTCGATGCGCTGAAAGTTGGCATGTAGGTAGGCACCCAATATAGGTAATGCATTTCCATGTACCACATTTGGCGTGTTGCTGCACGTGCGCATGTGCAGGGGTCGATTCCAGATCTCGAGAACGGCTGAATCGATTGTGCTCAAATTTAGTACACATTTAGGGACCGGTTAGTGGGGCGCGCCGTGCAAAAGCCAGTTTGGACCCAGCTTGTGCAGGGCTCACCCTCTCGCTCGTTCGTTTGTCGCCCCCAAAGGCGTTTTACTGGTTAGATAAGAAATCCATAAGGCGATTCTCTTTCGTGAAGCCTCCAATTCAACACCAAATGTAATTTGATTGATTTTGTGTTCCATATTTGGGTGAATTGTGTCAATATTCACAGCCGTGAAACACAGCAGCCTTATCAATGATGTCTCTAGGTCACGTGATTGACACCGAAAACGTGATAGACATCAGTAATACTCCAAGATTTTATTGTCCAGAAGGTCACGCTCTCCCATCATTTCTGAACCAAAAATGTTGACCGCTCAAACACGCCTTTAGACAACCAGTGCCAAAACAAAAACCTTCACAAAAACTCGCATCCACATGTCATAACTCGACTAGCACGTCTGGTTACGATAAATGCCGCATGATTACGTCAAAGGTTTTCTATCGACAAAGTTGGTGCTGGTGCAACATGTCAATGCTAAATGCCAGCTCGCGCTCGAAGCAATACTGGCACGGTATCGATTGCATGAGTCGACGATCATGGATTTGCTGCGGTGACTTTCCTGTTGCAGTGCTGGCATGGCCATGTTTCCGGAAAACATGCGGGTGTAGTTTAGGATCGTGGTAAAAAAAAATGTTATTAAGTGGCGCACTGCATGTTCCGAAGATCACTGCCAAATTTCCTAGCTTTTGTGAAGCATAATCGTGAAAGGCGGTGGTGAAGTTTCCCTCTCTCTCTCTCTCTCTCTCTCTCTCTCTCTCTCTCTCTCTCTCTCTCTCTCTCTCTCTCTCTCTCTCTCTCTCTCTCTCTCTCTCTCTCTCTCTCTCTCTCTCTCTCTCTCTCTCTCTCTCTCTCGTCACCTCTCCCACTCTGTTGCACGTCTTTCTCGTCCTTACACTGGTATCCAGGGCCAGAACCAGGCAGATACTTTTGTTGTTGTTTTGGAGTTGTTAATTTGATGCTAATTATCATCATTTTAACTGACATTCTGAAGAGGGGTAACCGCGTCCTTACCTAGGCGAACCTGCGTACAGGCACACCAGAGGAGGCTGGATGGCATATGACTCATATTTCCATTGTTTCATATTTCCCAACCGGGAGCAATTTCCGATTAAGAAAACCGTCACTTCACTAAATGGCACAAAAGCATTCTGAAGTTACGATACAATTACCGCTCAAAGAATTGACTGTGCAGCAGATAACGCAGATATTGTGTAACATCGCTGCAATGCTCGCATAGTTTTCGATTAGGAAATTATGTTTAATGATGCTTTCTTCCATGCCTCATTGCCGGCAATCGAAGCGAGGTCTTTTCAATGAAACGGAAAAATGTCGGTGGGGGCGGCCTGGCCTGACCCGGCCTGTAACTGGTCAAAAGCTTATGCTGGTCAAAAGCTTATGAGACATAAGGCTTATGTCTCAGCAACCGCTGGGCCGATCGACCTGCGGTCTTTTTATGGTCAGCCCCATTCTTTCTCTAGGTAACCGACTACTTGTGATCCATCTAGGTGAGCATCGTGACCCGTGCCACGTAAAACGTCTATGTAGATAAGCTGCAATCTATGTTTACTGCCTATTTTTGCTACCGTTTACCATCTATTTACGCTATTGTCCATTCTATCGATTTATACCATGCCGGTTAATTTAGTATCACTAGTATCAAGTCCATGCAGTCACTAGCATCAAATCAATGCTACCCATCATATCCCCTCCCCATTTCATATTTACCTACGATATGATCATCACATCAAACACCACTTCCATCCCTTCCGGGCCCCGCCTGCGTTCGCAGTAGCCGTTTTCACGACGGGCTATCCGGCGAGTGCACCTAATTTGACCAAATCTGCACCTAATCTCTTTTACAGCAAATGTATTTATTTTATGCATTTATTTCAGTGTATTAATCGATGCTACTCTCTGATAATATGACAAAGCAGGCATATGAGCAATTAGTGCAAACCTAGGTGATAGCTACTAAGAGACACACTGAACCTAATTTGACCAAATCTGCACCTAATCTGAACCAAATATGCACCAAATGTGTACCAGATGGCCGTCATGAAAACGGCCAGTGTCGAGCTAAGGGGCGGTTCCCACCGTTCAACCTTGACCAGCTCACGGCCCGGCCGTACCGAAAAGTCACGCAGTGTCTGTTCATACCGATATTGCCGCGTCATAGCGTGATGAAATGTCACGGTCAGTGTGGCCATGCCTTATTGCGTCATAACGGCGATAACGCGTGATTGAGAATAGAGTTATTTGCTTGGTATTGATATATTAATAACACCGATCACAAACACCAATGTGGTCGTGATACACTTGTAATGCTTTTACGCGGTTCAATATGTTTATTTCATACGCTTGAGCCGCCTTTTTTACCGAGGCAAAAAGAGAGAAGGGGTGAATGGGAGAGAGAGGGGGAAGAGAAAGAGAGGGACAAAGAGAGAGACAGAGAGAGAGAGGGAGAGACAGAGAGAGAATGAGAGCGAGAGAGAGAGAGAAAGAGGGAGGGACGGAGAGGGGAGAGAGAGAGAGAGAGAGAGAGAGAGAGAGAGAGAGAGAGAGAGGGAGAGAGAGAGAGAGACCCCAGCACCAACCAGGCCCTACCAAGTACCGAGTAGCCCGCCCTCCACTGCTCTCTCAGTTTCCTATAGGCGTGGCCTCACGGATCTCTCGCCAAGGTCAGTCTCTGATAAATCGGCCGGACACCTGCCAACGCCCCACCCTCTCCCACCCTCTCTCCAGCCTCCCCCACTCTCCCCAGTCGGCGACTTCCGGAAGAGTCGGGCAGATTTCAAGGTCGCTCTCGCTCTTTCTGAGTGGCGGGGGATGAGAGAGGGAAGGTTTTTTGTTGTCGGACAGCTGATAGATTTATGTCTAGGTCACCGACTTCTCCCGAGAGGAATGATGTGGGAAATTCGTAGAAGGAGGAAGCCAAAGAAAGATGTGGTATCCGGTTTTCAGAGCTCCAGCGCCTGTTTGTGCTCTGTTTGTCCTGTTTGTTCTGTTCTGTTTGTGCAAAAGCATCCCTAGGCGCTCTTTTTCCTATTCTAATACCTAAATTATTCTTTATTGCGATATTGTTACGACGCTTCAACAAAAAGCAGACAAAATTGTTTGTATGTACGACGCACGTTCGATTTCCATGGTCAGAAAAACGTGTCCATATGTTTTTGACTGAGTTATTTTACCTACATTTTCAGTGTGTTAGGAATGCTCCTTCTGAATCTTTCGAGGACAGTCACCAATTTAACAGACTACAGAGGTTTCGGGGAGAACAGCCCATTTATAATCCAGCAAGCCAACATTATCTAGATAGCGCGGTAGTCTACCTATGCCAGGAGTTATTCCATCTTATGCATTATACACACGTTATCATCAGTGTAATTGCGAAGTGCGGACATAGGTTGAACACAGGACACAAAAAAAATTGGCTGTGGCAGCCGTTAGCCGCCTCCTATTAGTAAGCCTTCTGCAAAGACCTGCCTTTACTAACAGCTCGCCGTTCCTGTTCTGTTTTCAGCTGGTGGCAGCAGCTGCAATTATAGATGGCACCACTGCCGACAAGACGCAACGTCTGTCCCGACGCGTCACTGCCGATGATGCGGCCACCGACGATGCAGCCACCAGTCGCCGTCGCTTCTCCCGCTACCGTGCCCGCTTCCCCATCGGTCCGCGTCCCGTAGAAGACGACGAGGACGACACCGACAGCGACAACGACGATGATGAGCAGTTCCAGCATCGGTCACGTGGCGGCGCTGCTGTTGATCCGATAGATGTCGCTCCGACTGCTGAAGCGCCACCGTCAAGACGTGGAAGTAGAGCTCGAGGTTCGGGTCGACGATTCAACACGGGACGCCGGGGATCTCGCCAGCGAGGTGGAACTACCACCGAGATACCGACCTCTCCGACCTCTGAGTCTCTAAGTCAACCAGGTCGCTCGCAGTTCGCCGGGCGTCAGCAAGCAACGTCTTCATTCTCAGCTCCGTCACCTTCCGGAACCGATAGCACGCGACAGCGAGGACAGCGAGGACGTGCCGGCTCTCGCTTCAACCTCGACGCCTACATAAAGGAGACAGGTCGTCTTCCCATCGCGGATATCGGGATCGACGGCCTCCCGGGACATTCAACGCTCACATCGGGACCGGCTGGGACATCAGCCCCTTCCACAGCTCCTTCCTCGATTTCGTCCTCTGTTCAGGATCAGGATGTTGTACAGCCAGGACGACGTCGTGATGGTGGTTTCTCCCGCACGGCGACCACCCAGATTGCTGTGCCACGCCAGCCACCTAGACGTCGCCGACCCGTTCCTACATCTCCCCCTTTCGTTGGTGAGACCCCGCAAGAACAGGCGGTTGTTTCGAGGGATTCTTCTCTGATCGAGGAGGCAGATGAGGAGGAGGAGGCACCAGTCAGGCGAGGACGTTTCAGAAGTGGCACGCGGAATGCCCTCGGGCGACGGGGAAGTCGGAAGCGGGTCAGGGTGAGGCCCGCTATCAGGAACCCTGTGGTTTCTGTTGAAGAAGGCTTGGAAAAGCCGCGGGTACCCGAAAATGTTGCCAATGTCGAGACAAGCATGAAGGTCCCTGCATTGCTGGCAGCTTTCACAAATTTGGCTCCGTATGGTGAGGGTGAAGATACCTCCCCTTCCCATCCGAATGGACTCGCCGACGACATTGCCATAGCGTTGCCGGCGCACCTCCCGGACGAGCTCATTGGTGGTCGCGGGGGGAGGTCATATCTCCCGCGGCCCGGATCTCAGTCTCTTTCACGTCCGGCTGGCGCCTCAAATCCCAACGCCTATCTGCCAGAGCCCCAGGTGAAACCCTCGCTTCAGGAGAACTCCTACCTGCCCACCTCAAACCTGCCACCTCGCTCTGAAAAACCGCCCTATCTCCCCGAACCAGACAGCTTCGACCGGCCGCAGTCTTCCCTGTTCGACGGCCTGGCTTTGCCGCCTGTGGAGGCGCCGATACCAAAGCCGCAGCCTGCGGCCGAACCGGCAGAATGCAGTGCCGACCCGGGCGCGATCCGTCTAGAGCTGCGGTTTTTGCGACCGTGCAGCACGGATGCCGACTGTGGAGTAAATCTGGCCTGCTTCTCGGCGGCAGCTCCGTGCTCAGGAGCGGCGCAGTCACAGGTAAGGTGACGTGGAGCGGAAATCTGGACACTCTGTGACTGGAACTTAAAATAATCCTTACGATAATTAAAATGTCAAAATATGCCACTGACCAATATGATTGGTCTGGACAACGTCTCACCATGCGTTGTCAGTACTATTGAACTTATTTGACATCTTTTCACGCTCAAGAATACCTAGCGAATGCTTTCATTTTCACTTTATTGACTTTGAACGGAAAACCCTTCACACCACAGACCGTAATCCGTATTATGCCTAGTGAGGTCATATCGATGCGTTACGGGGATTTTATCGGCTTAGAAAGGGATGGGCCTGTATAGTACAAACATAACATAACAAACATTGTTTGCTTGTTTGTTGCCTGCTGCAGCTGTACGACATGTCTGCTTTCACGCTCAAGCTTTTCCTATTATTGTTACTAAACTCGTTTTTCTATGCGTAAATAAATATGGTGCCAGTGTTTGCGCGTGCTGAGTGCTCCGACCACCCAATTCTGTTCTGCACATGTTCTAACCCGGCCTGTATTTGTCCAAATTCACAGGAATCCGTATGTCTGCCTGCTATGGAGGCTGGAGCCGCGTGTTCGAGGGATGCGCACTGCGCGTCAGCGCGTTGCCATAGCAACGTGTGCCTCTAGTGTCGTCATCCGCTGATCTCAGCAAAGAAAATGGAGGCGTAAATGTGCCTTCCAAGTTCATAATCACGTGCATAGGCATAACGAAGCACATTATGCCAAGGAGATGGTTTCGCGTTTGTTCATTTTCAATTGTAAGATTGTATGGTAAAAGGCGACATTAATTGCTGTTCATTTAGGCGTGAACGACGTAATCAAACTTAACGGCAAAAGTGGGTGTCATCAACCAATCAATGATGTGGAGTATTTTAAGTGATTAATGAATGTTCACATGCAGTAGCCAATACATGATGTGGTCTGATAATTATGCTCTTGGGCTGGGGCTCAGGGCCACATAAATAAGATTGTAATACGAAAGAAACACCTATGTCGAGCAAAGTAAGCCTCCAAAAGCAGTGATCAAGGACACAGGTAAAAAAAAAAACGTTTCAGATGAGACTTAGAGTTATTACTCCATTTAAGTTAGGTAAATGAGGCAATGTACGTATTTCAACTACGTACTCATCGTTGTTATGAGAGAAACATCTCCATCTCAACTGTACATAAGTATGCAATAGTATCTGTCCAAACATTTTCTATTTGTATTTTAGTGAATCGATAGCCATGAATACGTTTCGAAAGCTGGACTATCGACTTCGTTCAGAACTCATGCTAAGTGCTGGGGTGAGACCCTTATGACTTGAGCTTGCGTTGATTAAATTAGATGTTCCTTTGTGGTATCATGAGGAGAACCAATACACAATGCAAAATAACGTAACTACGCACAATTAACCCGCGCCCTGCTGGGGGGTGTTTGAACACCCCCCCTTGTGGTTTTTCGCGAATATCTCAAAAACGGCGGCGCGGAGCGCCGCCGTTTTTGGTACACCTTATCATACATCCATTCTACACATGTTGTGAAAATTTCAGACCAAGGTCATTCAAGGTCAGGTCACCAGGTCACTTGAAGTGACCTCACCTCATAAAAACTTTCAATGTCTGTCATAGCTACACCGAGTGACCGATCGCTTTGAAACTTTCAGCGATTGCTAAGGGCAATAGCATGTACAAAATGTATATCTCAGAATTTTGATATCAATGACCTAAGGTCAGGTCAATTTTGCGACCTCGCCATTATAAGTCAATGGGAGAAAATTGAAATGCGCCTCTTTTGGATGCAAGACATTATAAACACTCCCAAACACCGAATTACAAGTGGTTTAGACACACTGAACATGAAAATGGTGTCCGTGACCCTTGTTTATGCCCTGAGGTCATCTTAGGTCACGAATGGTATCTAACAGTTTTTCGCAAATAACTTTTGATAGAGGCATGCTAGAGCGATGAAAACGCCTTAGATGTGTTCAGCTCGACGATACGGATCGACTGATATGCAACATGACCCTTTCCGGTCAGGTCATGACCTTGACCTGAGGTCAAATTTTCAAGTTGACCTTTAAAGGTCAAATTATAGTTCATTCGATGCGTCTTGACGAGAGGAACACGATGCCGGTAAAAGTAAGCTCGTACAAGGCTTGGGTCAAAGGGTATTGCAGAAAAACTGTTTCCGAAAAAAATCGGCTATTTTTGCAGTTTTTGCCCCCTGCAGTCAAAACCGTTGACGTTAGGTCAAATCTGAGAGAATTACTCAGAAAGGGCGTTAATAGGGCTATCGAATGCGCTTTTCCGCGGCGCTGTAGCTCTATTGGTTCCCGAGTTATGCGTTGGCTTCTTGGAAATTTTCGACATTTGACCTGGAAATCGGCGAAATTTTGCCTTCAATGACCTCTGGTGACCTGACCTTTGACCTGACCAAAAATTGACCGAAGTGATTTCGTCATCATTTTTGACGCTCTTTCGAACGCCGCCTTCCGCGTATCGCTACGTGGCCCAGGAGCCGAGTTACAAGGGGAGGTGTTCAAACACCCCCCCCCCCCCCAGCAGGGCGTGGAAATCCAGGACCCCCAGCCGGGCGCGGGTTAAACATATCGTTTATTGCAAAGCAGCACCGGCAGAGTATGATGTGAAACGCATGGACCAAACAATAAAAACCGCAACGAGAATGCAACTTAAGTTTTCAGGGGACCACCTACGTGATCTCGGCCATACATCACTATCTTTCAAAAGCACCTTTGATTGTATAAGTTTCATTTATTTCTCAACTAGGCATGGCTTCCTAGTTGTATGTATGTACGTTCTGCTTATGGCGTAATAAGCACGGAAACGACACATTGCTCCAACTTTTTGTGGAAATTTTACCGTGAATCATGCCGTTATATTTTTAGAACATTTGCTTTTTGTAACGCAAACAATAAAACACAGTTGACAATAATGCAAAAAAGAAACGTACAGCTTAGTTTCTGCCTAGTACCAACATATATCACCTCCTAGTCACTTTGTTTAACTTGTTTTATTTTCATTTTTGTGATGATGGATCGGAATCAAATTCTAAACAAGTATAAACACTAATCTAAAAATAATGCTCTACCATCATCCAGATAACACGAAAAGTGAGTTAGTACGGGAAACTGGTAAAACACGAACACCCGGGTGGAACACGATAGATACCATCAAAAGTAGGTGGGTGTATGCTGCGAAACTACATGCAGCTTGAGGGATGTGTAAAGAAAGGTGGACTCACAAGAACAAGAACATAAACTCACATTGATACAGTGACTCGAGTGTCCCTGGCGATCAACACTCTCGAGCATAAGAAAACATGTGCGAAAGTGTCATAAAACATCAAGGAATCAAGGAAAGTCATTAAGCTGGGCATAAAGCACAGGCACGTAGTCGTCAAACTCGGCCCTGAAGAAATTACCGGCCACCGGTCTACCGAGACCATTCTCACGTGCAAACTGGCTGACCTTCCACCCAAAGCGCCCTCGGGCCTGACGGAAGGTTTGGCGGAGCTCTGGGTCGGCCGAGATCAGGCCCGGCTGGCGGTACAGCAGGAAGATGTAGCGGTGCACACCTGGCGGCGAGAGAGGGAACTGTTAGTTCATGAAGTGGCCGGTAGTGGTCGGGGCAGAGCAGCACCAGGGCCGAGGTGGTTTACTGGACGCTGCTACCACGCTGCTATTCCATTTCCGATGTTGTGAGTGCTCAAACCGGTAAGTGCAGGCCAGAAGCCAGGGACCCCATTTTGGCTATCTCAGCTCAAAAGTAATGTTAACCTGCTATCGGCGGACCCTACCACCCGTAGGGGGGGGGGGGGCCGTTTCGCCCCCCCCCCCCCTGAGATCTCGGAAATTTACCGGCCGATTTTCAAAATTCAAGCGTTGTTCGATAGCCCCACCAGGGAACTACCTTGTGACAAAATTTCATTGACCTAGGTCAAACCGATGACGTCACAGGTCAGGTCAAAGGTCGGATTCTCGCCGTTCACAGGCATTTCAAGAAATGTGTTGTGAAATCGAGTAAATTGGTAATTTATTGAAAACCATCGATGGTACATTGTTCGTCAAACACATACTTTGCTATCTGAGGTCACTGATACTAGGTCAGGTCACAGCGAGGTCAGGTCACCGGGGTCACAATATGAAAGTGTCGTGTGATACATGTTTTATGGTCCATTTTACATGACAAATGCGATTATGTGGGTAAAGCGGCCCTTGGGGCCAGCCTAGGTCACATTTTGGTGAAGGTCAGGTCAAGGTCAGGTCAAATTAGGTCAAATTTTAAAGTTGATATTTTTGCATAAAATGGGTATCGATTCGATGCAGCTCGTCACGGGGAGTCTAACGGTGGTCTTTGTGTTGCCCTACAAGGTCTAGAATTGCCACAAATAATTGAGTTTGAAAATTTGACGTCATCATTTTTGAACAGTTTTTTTTTCGCTATAACTTGGCCAAAAAACGAGGCATCGATCTGAAATTTGGTATGTAGATAGAAGACGGTAGGTACAGCCCACCGCTAAAGTAATGTGTGGTTTTACCAATCTCAACGGATGGCTTTGACCGACGATTTTTAAATGCGGACTGATTGAAAAGAAGACGTCAATAGATAAAGTTGTAGCTGCAAGGGTGAAGATACATGTAAGCTACATTTAAAGTCTCGTTGCAGTCTTGCTAATCGTTTCTAGGCTTCAGAAGCAGAACATACCCATGACTGAAACCACATATTGCTTCTGCTGTGGACTGTACTATCAAAAATATTCCGTTTTTTCGAAACTCAAAAAACATTTTGGATTTTTTGGCTAATATGTCCAAACAAACTGTTTTGATTTTGGGGGGTCAAAACTAAAAAAATTAAAAATCCGAGATAACAGTTTTGTAACCCTGTCAATTCTACACCTTTTATGTTTGATCATTTTTCTGTATCTTCAAAGCTGTAGGCCTGACAGGTCTTCTCGCAAAGGTCTTTTTTTCGGTCGAAAATGACAGAACATGACGTCATTCTGACGTCATTTGTGGCCAACCTATCATAGCCTCTGGAAAAATGTTAGTCACAATGTGTAAAATTGATGCCCGGAGGGATCCTGAAAGTTTGGTGGCGACATCTCCAGCCGTTTAGGAGATATTGACAGAAAAGGACAGGGAGCTGTTTTGCCCCCCCCCCTACGGGGCGCGGGTTAAGGTTGGAAATAGTTAAAGGAAATGACGCCATAGGGACAGCGGAGCCCCCAAAATAAAAGTTAATATCTAAAAAGAAAATGGTGAATATTTTTCAATGAACTTTGCTGTTACTACTTTTTGTGAACTCTGGTTTCATTTTAGCTGTTTCTGAACCACGATGCATCACTTTTATGCCAATCCGTTAACTTTTTTAAGGTGAAAATAATCTCTTTAAGAATCTTCATTATAGAGCAAAGACTGCATTTACCAACACATTGCTCGAACAAAGGGAGAATTCCGCTTGAGCCGGCGCATAATGGGTAATCTCCGCCGCCTACAAGCACCGAACAGCACCCCTGTAGGTATTTCACGGAGTGCACTGATATTCACAATATACTCGCATGCATGCATCGGTCGGTACAGAATGTAACCTCTGAAAAAAAAAAAATATAAAATAACCGCTCTAATAATACCTATTCCTATATAAAATAGCTGACACAGATAATTTGTGCATAATTGACAAAACAAAGTGCGCGTGCTGCCACCTATCGTCCGTCCGCGCAACTCACCGGAACCTTCGGGCGCTCCGGAGCCGATGTAGTCGCTGATGACGTCACCTGCCTTCACCTGATTGGTCGGAATGTTTACCACCAACCAATGGCGTACCTCACCCTCAGATCGGTTATTTCTATTCGGCACATCCGGGTCTGGAAAAGTTTGAATTTTAATTATCAATGGCTACGTTTCCATGGCACAAGCTAAGCCGATTTTGAAAAATGGATTTGCTCCATCATAGCATTTAGGCGTACCTAATTTAAAAATGTAAACATAGATTAGGTGCTAGCTAAAACCATATATACCCTCATTTTTTTGCATGAGGTTAATAGTTTCCGAGAAAAACGCACGTGAAATTTCGCTAAATCGATTTACACGTGTCATGGAAACGTAGTGATTATAACTGATAAAATACGCTGGAATTTTTAACAAATGTTTGTCTACAGGGTCTTTCATAATGAATGCTATTTTTAAAACGCGAAGTTGAAGGTGTTCGTAAATAATTAAACCATGAATTTTGTATTTACCTTATTGCATTTTTTTTTTTTGGAATTTCTGTTGATGTAATTAAAACTGCCACACTTCACCAAACTTCCCTTTTGTGCGGACATGAAATGCCTCCCCCTATAACACGGGTCAGCTCTTTTTTTCACGTAGGCGTTTTGGGTGGTCGTGGGAAACGGCTCACTGAAGCGCACGGCTGTCCACCGTAAGATTCGGGGACACTTTTAAAAGAAGCACAATGTCCGCTCTAAAATGATCACAGGCTTGTGAACATATTCCAGAATGTCACGACTCACGGTTGATTGCAAGAAACAAAACGCACGAAAGGTCATGTTTTGGGCTGCCGTGGTCGACGGGCGTGTCTTCGTCCACTGGTTCGCTTCTGGCTCATCAGTGACCGGGCCAGCTTATCTGAGGCTGCTCAGTGCTCAAGGAAAAATTCTGGCCTCATGTGCCTGGCGGGGTTCAAAGACAAGGCCTCTGGTTTCAGCAGGACGGCGCTGAAGTGACAACGGCGGCTGGGCGCCAGTGGTTGGATGGCAACTTTGACAGACGAGTGATCAGCCGTCTCACTGAGCGGCCATGGCCAGCTTGGAGCCCTGATCTCTCGCCGATGTACTTCTGATTTTGGACAGTCGTCTTGGAGGCCCCAAGCAGAGACCCTTCCAGTGACCCTCATAGAGCTACAGGTCACAGTGGAGAGGTTTGCTGCAATGCTGTGCGCGGAGGATGTGAAGCGCGTGGTGCACTATTTGCGTCAGCGGGCCGAAATCTGTGTCCGAAAGCGAGGCGACACAGTCAATAATCGATGAAAGGTACCTAAATGCGAGTCATGTGTACATAATTTCCCATGATTTGTTATTTCATTCGGGTATTGACAATAACTTTGTGATGTATATCACCTGAGCTACGGCTATTTCAAAAATAACATTCATTATGAAAGACAAATGTTTGTCTACAGGTCCCTACATGTATGTGTAGGGACCTGTTTTCTGAAGTAAAACTTTATTTCGTAAGCTGAATACACCTTCGTTTCTCATTTGTCATTAGTCATGCATGTAGGTAGGGTAAAATGTATGACGTACCTACGATTATGGTCTGTCTGTCCGTACCCTAAGTTATATGAGGTAACCATCTATCTTATCTGTATCATCTCTATCTTAGGCCGCAGTCGATACCAACCGGCCGGCCGGCCTTAAATGTGCATCACAGCATAAAAGATGTATTTAAACGGTAAATCAATGTTATATTTAATATATCTAGTATGTCGTACACGTAAAACAACTACCCATGCTACGGCTCTCTCTCTCTCTCTCTCTCTCTCTCTCTCTCTCTCTCTCTCTCTCTCTCTCTCTCTCTCCCTCCCTCTCTCTCTCTCTCTCTCTCTCTCTCTCTCTCTCTCCCTCCCTCTCTCTCCCTCTCTCTCTCTCTCTCTCTCTCTCTCTCTCCCTCCCTCTCTCCCTCTCTCTCTCTCTCTCTCTCTCTCTCTCTCTCTCTTTTCCCATCGCTCTCACCCGTCATGGCCAGCGTATAGAGACTTCCCGGCTCGGCCGGCCAGGTGACGTGAGGCTGACACCTGATTTCTGCCGGGGTCACCTGATTTCCCAGCTGGGCCGAAACTCCCGTACAATATTCCACCTGAAACACGCGCACAGGTCACGTGATAATTTACCGTAGCACCCAGCTGAAGAATAGTCAGTCTTTTCTTATTGTCCGTTAAAAAAAAAATCAGAGCGGCGCGGCGTCGTTCGCAGTTCCAAATAACAACGCAATTAACCCTGCTTTCTTTATTCTTTATTCTTTAGCATCAAAACACAGCAGACGATTAAAACGTCAAGAAGAAAAATATATATTTAGTCATAAGCATGTCATTCACGAATATTGCATCATCGTATTTACCTATTGTTAGGTTTATTATATATAGTACCTTAAAGGAAAAGCATGCCTGTAGAATAGGAACCTACATTGAAATTACGCAGTACGCTGTATTACATTTTCTTACCGTGAGTCTGCTCCTGGGCGCCTCGTCAATCACATCCGGAATAACTTCGTGCCTCTTAAACGCCTCTGGAACAGACAGCGTTGCTAAAAGTAGACATTGCTAAAGGTAAGGATAGACTTTGTTAAAGGTAGACATTAATCCGACAGTAGGTACAGGTCTCGCGGGTTTTAGCGGTAGGTTTTGCACCTATAAAATTTAGTGTACTTCAGGCTATATCTTCGTCGTCTTTTAAGTGTTGAAGATGCGATCGACTTGTTGGGTAACAAGCCGCACATGGTCGTGTAAAATGGCTTCACCGTAGATAGATTAGTTTCTGAGATATAACCGGAAATGTAATAGTGCAAAACCTACCGCTTAATCTCGCGAGACCTGTACATCTGCATCTTAAAGCCAAACAAAGAAGGCTTTTAAGTACAAGCTCCGGTGTATCGATTCTAATTGTCGTTACTTGTTAGTGATATAGTTAACGCGGGGCTCATACACAAAAAAAAAAAATCACAACCTCTTGGCGGTTTCTTCGTTTGTCTGAGACGAGATCAAAACACAAAATCCAGCTACACCATAATCTAATATGACGTAGCCTGTATCTCATGTTACACAATGTTTTATGTTTCATTTTGCGCTTACAGAACCTGTATTGTCACCCATATCCCCATATTCTCACAAATAGAGCCCCATATCCTCACCTGTACCCACTTGCTCACTTGTTAGTTTCCACTCCTCACTTCTGGGTTTCACAGCCTGCCTGTGAGTTCCCAAATGCTCACCAGTGAGCTTCCCACTCTCACCTCTGAGCTCCAGGTCCTCCTGCGGTGGTGGTAGATACATGAAGCTTAGCTGAGGCTGGTAACGGCCGACACCGAGCAGCCACATCCTCCCGAGACTATGCTGCGGTTGTCCGTCAGCCACCGTCAACATAACGAAAAGAACAGACGCCAACATGGCCGCCGGTCGACAGGTGAAGTGGGTTTTGGTTGAAAACTTTAGCGAGGATTTAGATCAAATGAAGAGAATTCGCGGTTAAAAATGGTACAAGGCTCTTCAGATTCAGAGAACACTGAAAATGGATGTATCTCCAGGAGATCACCTTCGGGTAGCAGGATAGAGCTCTGTTTTTTAATGAGCGAGGAAATATGACGAACGGAATTGGCCACACGGGGCTTGGATAGAGGAGCGCGCTATTGTTACCACGACGACGTTGGGAGCCGCACTGGAACACGGCGGCTCAACAGGAGCCTTATATGGCTACCTTGGAAAACGACGGTGTCATCACTACGACGGCGTCGGTATTGAGCTGATTGGTATGGTCGTCGTAGGGCGGAACTGATGAGTTTATTGAAAACGGGCTGTTTAGAAGGATTTATCACGGCGAAGGAGATTAAACAGGAAACCTAAAACGACCTTAATATCCTCCTAAATTGAAATGGAACGCATACAGCTGTCATTTGCGGGGCTTATTAGTTATAATTAGTTGAGATAAGCTACGAAGGGCGGTGCTTCAGTGGATGGAGCCCCTTTTTACCGACATTGGCCAGTTAATGGAGAGTAGGTAAGTACATGAAATTCCACGATATAAAATATCATACCAGTTTTCGTACCAGTTTCGTTCAGTTTCGAATATTGAAAATCAAAATTGTACTCTCGTTACAATATTTCTGGGACTGCGGCTGCCGACCCCTCTTATAGGGCCTTGGCCGACCCTGACTTGTGTCAGTGACTACACTGACTGAACAGGGGCGACACTTTCCGAAAATTATTGGTAGGGCTCTAATGTAAATTTTTGCCAATTCAAAGCGATTTTTTCCACGCAACGCCATAGGCATAATGTTAAATTTCCAAAATTATTGGTAGGGCTCGGGCCCTACCATGCCTATACAAAACGACACCCATGTGACTGAATGTCATTTTGTTCGACCATGAATGAAGCTCAGTCCTGCCATCTAGCGGAAGAGTTGTCGTTAGCAAGGTGAAAGCCGAGTGAACGTCGTCTCTCATTATTAAGCCACAACGGAGTGTGGTGAAGTTAAGTAGCTGGTTTGTTGTGCAAACTTTCGGTAGCTGTAGGCTTAATGTTTCAACCTGAGACAAGAAATGAATTATTGAACGACCAAGGTAACTAATAAGGCAAACTCCTGGTGATTTGTTAATTGAATCGTGAAATGCAGGGGATATATTATTGCAGACTTCACCGACACGCAGTCTTTTTAGGCCTTCATATGCTAATGAACATATGTAGTGTGAAACACTTGACTGATACAACTCTGGCTTTGAAAAAAACGAAGGCCGAAGCAGAAACTTGCCTTAACCCTCGCCCGTATTGGTGTTTTTCCAGCCGCGAACGTATAAGGGGGGGGGGGTCCGTTGGACCCCCCCTTGCCGTTTCGCCCCTGATCGAGCTAGAGCTTCGCGGAAAAAACGAGCGTGTTGCCCGTGACAAGAGGAAGCCGATGATACCCAATTTTAAGGTCCTAGGTCATTGGTTGACCTTGCAGGTCAGGTCAATGACCCCGAAGGCGAGAAAATCGGGACCTGTTAGAACGTCGTAAAGTGTGGCTGCTATGGGTTTTTTTCGGGGTGCTGATCACGAATATCAAGTTAGTTTTGATCACAGATGATGTCTTCATGTATTTAGGCCAGGTCGGGTCATGTCAGGTCAGGTCAACCAGTAAGGGTATTCGTAGTAGGTGGCAACCGCCTCTGACAGCTTCGTAACATGTTACGAAGGCACCAAAACTTCTTCGTAAATGTTCATATGGTTGCTAAATTCGAATTCAGCTCCACAAACTGGCCTAGAACATGTAAAACTCGAAAAAGTGAACCGAGGTCATCAAAGGTCAATGACCTGACCTGACCTTCAGGTGACCTTGACACCCACCCTAATGCATGGGGGCAACATCATATCACATGTTTCAACGCTTGAAACCACGAAAAGACTGCAAACACGCGGCTAATGCGAGCCGACATGCGCAGAATCGCGATTCCAGCCAAACATGGTCTCGAAAAGTAGGTCACAGGTCAAAGGTCATTTGGGTCAGGGTCATGAAATTTACAGGGTAGATGTGAAATTGATGAACGCGAGGGTACTGAAAGTTTTGTCGCGATCGGCCGCTTTTTACGCGAGTTATTCGCGAAAAACCATAGGGGGGGCCCGTTCGACCCCCCACGGGCGAGGGTTAACCCTCGCCGGACCTTTTGGTTTTCTACATACGGAGGGGGGGGGGGCCCGTACGACACCCCCTCGCCGTTTCGCCCCTGGTGGAGCTAGCGCGTCGCGGAAAAAAACGAGCGTGTGCGCCGTTACAAGACGCAGAGATTGATAGCCGATTTTAAGGTCCTAGGTCAACCGGTGACCTCTGAGTTCAGGTCAAGTGCCCCAAGGTACGGTTCAGTTTTTGGTGAATAACTTCGCTAAAAACGGCCGCAGAACCGCGACATCGTGTTCGGCTTGCTCAGGCGCGTCGAATGATACCTATACTTTTTGCTTGGGTGAGGTCAACTTGGGGTGTTGATCTCAGGTCACGGTCAGGTCAGTGACCTCAGGTCACGAAGTTGGTCGAAGGAGATCATGTTGCATATCATTCGATTCGGCAGATCTTCCTGAGCCCATTGGTAACTTTCGCGACTCGCTAGCTCAATTTGATCGGGAGTTATTGACGAAAAACTAAAATGACCTTTGACGTCACGCAAGGTCAGCATTGCAAAAGTGACGCATCTTTCCTTGCAAGGAGTGCATCAAATCACGATTCTGTGTGCTTGAGATAGTTGGAGATCGTTCCCGGCGCCAGAATAGCAGTTTTCATTTTTCCCCACTGACTTATAGTGGTGAGGTCACGAAAATGACCTGACCTCATATGACCTTTAGGAAAAATCCGAGATGTACAAGTTCTGAGACTCGTAATGGATACTAGATCCTGCAAGTTTCACTTCCCTGTGAAAGCTCCTCTGGCAGTGAGGGCGTTGCGAAGTTGCGACATCTGAAGACCGTGCAGAGGTTCACTTATGACGTCATAGGTCAGTGACCTGACCTGACCCGAAAATGCGGTTGTTGTCAAAAGATCCGGCTTGAATCAAAGGTCAGCTATGCCAAGTTTCAGCTCTCTATCGCCAGCGTGTTTGGAGCTATCGCAAAAAAAACTATGGGGGCGGGGCGGCACCCGCCCCCCCCCCCTCGGCCGGCGAGGGTTTTAAGCCTGTTTTTTTCCGCGCATCTAAAAAAAATTCATCCGCGATTTTGGCAGCATCGTGTTCGCCTCGCTCAGGCGCGTCGAATGATATAGGTACTTTTTGTTTGGGTGAGGTCAACTTACGGTGTTGACCTCAGGTCACGGTCAGGTCAGCGCCCCCAGGTCACGAAGTCGGTCGAAGGAGGTCACGTCGCATATTATTTGATTTGGCAGGTTTTCTTGAGTCCATTGGTTACTTTTCCGACTCGCTAGCTCAATTTGAGCGGGAGTTATAGACGAAAAACTAATATGACCCTAATGACGTCACGCAAGGTCAACATTGCAAAAGTGACGCATTGCAAGGAGTGCATAAAATCACGATTATATGTGTTTGGGATAGTTGGAGAATGGAGATCGTTCGCGGCGCCAGAATAGCAGTTCTTTTGGGTCATTGACTTGACCTGGAAGGTAAGCCAATGACATAGGACTTTAAAATCATCGGCCTCCTCTCGTCACGGGCAGCACGGTCGATGAAAACCCATGCGCACTGGCACCATGACCCCAATGCGGCCTTCGGCACGGGAAAATAACGGTAGTCGGTGCATAGTGCAGCAGGTAGCAGCAGCGCACCGTGTTTTAACTCTGGCCAAAAACTGGCCAGGACCCGAAATATCGACTATTTTTAAACGTTTTCATTTGGCCACTATCGTGTTCAAAAATGATCAGAGCATCTTTAACGACGGAAGCTTTTATTCTCTTTACTTTTAAAAAGGTTGAAAAAGTTCAACAAAGTCAGACAACTCTCAAAAGCTAACTTCGGCGAACAAGCGCAGAAACAGTCGCCTTGCTTCACGTCAACATCTTCGAGCTTTGGATTGACAAAACTATATAATTTGGGTACCAAACGATAGCGCAAACTTTTGGCTTTGTAATGAGTCAAAATTTATATAATTATAATGCATATAGGTGTTACATTTATTGATTTTCGTCAGCCTTTACATTGGCACACTTTTTTGAAAAATGTAAATGTTCTTTTAGAGCTACAAAAAATTGTACGCTAGTGTACGGTCTCAGACTACCACCACACTGTAGGTCAAGGAGTTGTCTACATGTCCTCAAAATTTCAGCTGCGCCTGAGTGCGCCGGTGTTGGGGGTGAACACTTTTTTGAATGAGTCATGTCTGTTCCTGCTGAGCCATGGGACGGGCTCTAGCGTGCGTTAAGGGAAAATGCTAGTACTCCTCGTTCATTCTCTCGTCTATTGTGACGAGTTGGTGGCCAATGGAAGGTCGCCGACCTGTGTGCGACCTGCCGTACCCTGGGGCGTAATCAGCTGACGGCACGACCCCCACGACACGTGCCAGTTGCATTTTCATGTGTCGCGAGAAGAAAACAAAGGGTATCCGGAACCGGAGACCGGACAGTGTCGGTGAGTGACAGTTGTTCATTCAAAAAATAGCTAGCATTCCTATGAAATATACATTTCTTAAACATCAACAGCATTATCGGTGTAAATAGTACCTATAGGTCTATAACAGGAACTTTCCACTCCATGGCTATTGCAGGAAACTCATAGATGGGCTCTGGAGCTGTATGGTCGCTACACATGCTTGCTTGATAGTTTATAAACATATCTTAGTACCTGATGGAGCGCAATAGAATATTCATTGTGCCCAGTTTGCGATGGGACTGTGAACTGAAAAGTGACTGTATGAGACCGGCCATAGCACGCATCGCTGATCACGATGATCGGCAGGGTTACCATCGGCCTCTTCAGTCAGTATTAATACGTTCGATGTAGGTGGTATGGTGTCATTAGTGCTGTCCACCTTTATGAAAAAGTATCCGTTTGCAGCAGTAAGCGTCAGTTAGTATGGCAATTAAGTGCTTTTACGTGCACGTTGCATGTTACATAACGCACCATACAATAGGAATTGGTAAGAAGTTTTGGGATACATTCTACCATTTCACGTCATGCAATGGCGGATCCGGTGAAGGGCATAGAGGGTATTTGCCCTCCCCATTGCTGAGTCGTGTGGGCAAGACTAT